AAAAAAAAAAAAAAAAAAAAAAAAAAAGCCTCTTCTTGTATCTGAGGGATTCTAGTTTTATTCAGAAATCATTCTGAGTTCTTAAAGGAGATTCACCAAATCCTCACTAATTCTAGGAATAAGTTGGGTAGATGCATTTATGGAATAATAAAACAGTCAAAGAAGGGGTCTAAAAGATGTTTCCTGCACTTGTAAAAAGAAAATTGTAGAAAACTTTAGCACTGCTGAGGATATTGAGGAACAAGGAAGTAAGAAAGGAAATTGAAAAGCACAGCATTTTATGATATGGATAAACAGTGACAATTTCACAGCATCAGAACTGAAAATAGAAACTACATCCGTTTTTTGGCTATGCTGAATGTTTTCCCCATCTGTAGAAAAGCTATAATAAAGGAACTGTTGTGGAACTAGAAGTATGTAAATAAAGTGAAACCTTTTGATAGCTGCCGGGATGCCAACACAAATATACGAATATAACAGATTTGCATAGTTTTCACCTATTTTTTCCCTTGATCTCCTTCATTTTTTTCTCACTTTAGGTTTATCTTCTCATAGAAAATGAGCTAAAACTGAATTCTCAAAACAAGTCAGAGTACTATCCATATTACTACATGATTCTTCTTACCTAAAATAACTGAAAGATTTTCTTTAAAATAACATGTTCCTTTAGTAAGATGATTAACTTCTCAACAATAGACTGGAGAAATAGGAATGAGGAGAAATTTAAAACCAGAGCTACTGCCAATTGAAAATGAATCAAAACTGTAGAAAAGAATTTCAAATTTTAATGTGTATTAATGGAAAAATAATTGTTTTTTAACAATCTACTCTAATTGACCCAAACGTCTTTTGAAATGCCATAACATTTATGGTTCTTTTTCTCATATTACATGTTTTGGGGGATGGAGGCAACATTTTAGTGAATGTTTACTAGACCTAACAATCTGTGATCTATCAATCACACATTTTTGTCCATCATCATTTTCATCATCAGTAATCTGAGCTACTGAGGTTTTGTTGATATAATTAGTATTATACTACACTAACTACTGCAATGTTACTGATATTATATAAGGATGGTACTTTCATTTATGAACTAAACAGTTCTAATAATTTGGCTTCTTTCAGGTTTCTCGAGTAATTAAAATTAGTTTTAAAAGAGAATTAAGTTGGCTCGCATGAATGTATACAAGCCAAAAACCTGTTAAAAGGTCCAATGCCAGTACAATCTCACTTTTATGCCAGACAATCATTATTGATTGGCAGATTTATTCTTAAATATTCTCCCCCCCACAATCTTCCAATTTTAGTTTCACTTCGGGTGTGTAGATGTTGAGAGTGCATTTTATGTAAATACGTAAATTTATACTTTTGTAATAGACTAGAAATCAGCATTTTTTGAAATCAGCATTTAATAAATAGTAAGACATAAGGCACTGAAAAAAATCTTGCTTTTTAAAAAATAGCTATTGCTAATTTTTACAGGGGCCCCAGTCATACTCTTCAACTTGTGCCTATCGAACAATCAATATCCGTACAGTTAACACTGAAATCTTTAAGTTGTATAGAGAATCATAAAGCAACATTGAGAAGTGAAATCTTTAAGTTGTGTAATCATAAAGCAACATTAAAAAGAAATATTTTTAGCTCCGTACTTCTTTCTGTTTTCAGGAGTGTACCTGTGTCTGTGGCAGAGCTGTAAAGATGGTCTCTTTTGTACTCATGTTAAATTAATCAAAAGATCTTTCTTCTTGCTCCCCCTTTTTAAAAAGCTACTTCATGCCTCGCAGACATTTCTTTGGCGTTGCAAAGATCTAAGCAGTAGGATAGTATGGTGGAAGAGTGCCATTTCTATGCCATACTCTAATTTGGTGTCCTTTGATCCTCTCTAAAACGTTAATACAAGGTTGCTGAGATTTTAAGTGTTGAAATTACTTCTTTTAAAATTGATGGATTTTTATCTACAACCAAGTAAAGGAAAATCAATGAAATAGAATACACCATAATATGGAGGATTTTCCCTTAGAAGCTAGTCGCTACACTGTTTTCAATTATGGTGACATACATAGTTGAAGATATTTTATACTTCTTTTTGGTAAGTTACTTCAAACATAATTACATGCTTATATCATAGACTGTACCGGCGCTGGGAAAAAGAAACCCGAAGATTCACTTCCAGTAATAGCTTAGTAAAATTCAAACAAAAGCCATTCCGAATAAAGGCTTTCTCTTTTCTTTCTTTCAGGACTGACTTATCTCGCTCTCCCTCTTAAGATGTGTAGGGGTTTTTGGAGGGAGGGGGGGAGGTTAATTACCGGCAAACTCCGCCTGTCGCAAACCTCGGCTTAACCCAAGCGCCCCCTCTCAGGCTTCCGGGCAGCCAGAGGGTGGCTTGAGGAGCGCGCCTCCCTTCGCTTTACCGAATCTCCCTACCGAGGACCGGGAAGTGACAACAACGGAGATACCAGGATCCGGGGACTGCACTCGGATGATTCATCCTGCTTTCAATCCAGCCACTCATAGCTTTTCCAGAGCTCACCTTTCCTCCCCTCTCACCGCCAACCCCCTCTCGCCATCTCCACCTCCACCTCCTCCAGAGCCCCAGTACCCGCACCCGCGCCCGCCTCCAGCCGGCCGCCAATCACAGCCATTCACAGCTCCAAGATTGCCAAAGCAACGCTCCTTTGGCCCTCTGGTCCCGCCCCCTCCAGAACTGCTTCCCGCCCCCTCCAGAACTGCTTCCCGCCCTTCGGGCTCTTTGTCCAATCATCAACGCCGGATTGTCCTTTGGTTCCCGCCCCCCCATCCCACCCATCTTAAGACCCGCCCGCTTCCTTAAGCCTGACAGAATCACCTGACCCGGAGGCGCTCGCTCTGCAGGAAGGCAAGAAGGGGCGTGTGCGTGAAGGGGAGCGGCGCAAGAAAGGGGGGATGCCGGGAGTGGGGCGGGGAGAAAGGTTGTCAGTCCGATCTCGCGAGAGAGGACGGAAGCCTGTGGGAGCCCGTGGCCTTTAAAGTGCTGTTCAGCCCTTTCCTCCCGGTGTAGTTTGTAAACACGGCTGTTCTTGGGGCTCCCGGGCGACCGAAAGGATCATGAACTAGTGACCTGGAAAGGTGAGTAGTGATGGGGAGAGGGCCGGAGTACCAGAGACTGTAGGGATACAGAGAAGGAAGGCGCTAACATGGCGACGTCGCTCACCATAGTCCCCACCCCCCACTTCCCATCACCTCGAACGCTCCTGCCGCGGTCCCTAGCCCTCGGGGCCACTGAGGCTGTGCTGCCACCTCAGTGGCCTGCGCAGCGTCGGCTTCAGTAGCCTGACCGGTCGGGCCGGACCGTTAGGTAACTGGTGTTCGTTGTCTCGGCCCCTCCCTCGCGCGCGCTTTCCTGAGGAAGAGGAAAAAGGCATAACGGCTCCGCTTAGACCCCTCCCTCCGATTTATCTTGCCCTTCTCTGGTCAATTCATACGTCCCTGGGGCCCTCGTCGGTCCGTCGAGTGCGCGGGGAGACACCTTTCCTTCCTCACACCCAGGAAGAGGGCCCACTCTGGTCTTTCCACCGAGGACTCAAGCGGTTGAGGACTGTGTGATGGTGGCGGGAGAAGGATCGGGAGGCGCGGCTGAAAATAGGGTCAGGGTCTCTGGCTGTGGTGGAACCTGATGGGACGGAGAACCTGGGAGCGGGAAGTCTCGGCTTTTTCTGTCCTTTCTGCCACCCTCACACACCCCCACCCCCCAATTTTTCCCGGTGGGGCGGTGCTGCGGTGTGGGTGCAGATTGATTCTGGCATTTTCCCCCATTTTTTTTTTTTTTTTAATCTCCTTGGGTGGACAATAGAGCTTTTTTAGGGAGTGATAATCTGTGCATTTCATCAATGCTCTAGGGACTAAAGCAGAAAGGTGGGGGAGGAGAAGAGAGAGAATGAATGAGAATGAGAATATATGTGTGTATGTGTTCTCTATGTTCGTTCATTAAACTGAAGCTCGGAGGAAGGAGAGGGAGGAGGGGCTGGGGACTGTTTTTCTACCCCTAGGTAATGTAAAATTGTATCCTTAATGGAGAGTCCTAAAACTGGTGAAGCCAGGAGAAAAACTATTGTGACTGAATATGATGGAGTGAAAGAGATTACTCCTGATGGACCTTAGGCCTACTGTCTAATTCCTAAATTATAATGTGAAAGGTGCAATTTCTTAGGGATTTTAAATTATGGAGATGGTCACAATGCATACATTTAATGTATATACTTGAAATCAGAACACAAACTGAGCACACTTTTTGTACAGTTTGAAGAAATTCATAACTACTGGCATTACCTTTGTCAGTAATAGCCGTTCTAGGCATAATCTTTAAATAGCCAGATAGCCTTGGTCTGTTTTACCAAAATTATGAAGGTGAGACGTTACTTATAAAGCGTGTTTAAAAAGTTAGCCCTACAGGGTTAAGTGCCCTAAAATACAAACACAGTAGCAGTTTTATCTTGTGTTTAAACTTGCTTCACTGACTTGAAGAATCTGCTGTAAACCATTTTTTCCAAAACTATGGGAACAATAATGTAAAGTATGTTAAAAAATATATAGATGCCCTTCTGCAGGTCAAGAAAGAAGAAAGTTCATGAATCTTTAAGGCTATCAATAATTGAGTAATAGTTAAAAATCCTAGTCTTTGTAAAATAACGTCTAAGAATCTTCCAAATTTACAGTGATGTGTATGCTATGTTCCTAAGACAAGTTTAATCTTGATTTGAGAGGATGCTACTGCCATTAAATTTTTTAAATTATTTAAAATATAATATTGTGGTAATATAGAACTTAGGTGTTTTGTATTTTAATTATCAATAAGGAGGACCTTTCCAGTACTTTTTTGTGTGTTTAAGGTACCTAATACCTTCTGTAGATCTGGTTGCATTTACTGGAAATCCTTTTTTAAATACCTTATTAGAATGTTTATTTCTTATTTGGGACACTATATTGTCATCTATTAAATATGTAACCCAGAAATTCTTGCATTTGCTTTTTTATTTGCAGTATTTGTTTTTTATTTTTAAACTAAGATAATAGGAGAAATGGTATGTCAGCTCTTTAACAAATAAGTGGAGGGGTTTTTTTCATTAGTATGCAGGATTCGGAAGCTATATGAGTATCATTTGAAAATGATACGTTATACATCAAACATCTACCTATAAATAGCATTAACTCAAGAAATCATCTACATTTTTTCTATCTAAATTTTTGTATTTTGGATAACTCGAGTTTTAATGATTTATATGTTCTCTGCTGGTAAATTGAATCGTTAGATAATGTTAAATCAGATAAACAACCCCACCATACATGCTGTTTCCACTCCTTCTGTCTTCAAGCTCTTCCTTCCAATATGAAATATGTCTATAAGCTGGCATTTCTTTCTCTTTGTTCTTATTGAAATGTCCTTAGAGAAGATAAAGTAGTTGAAGTCTCTCATTTAAACCAAATTTTCAACAAAAACTTCCTTGCTTGAAACCCAGTGAATAACAATAATTGGCTATTCAACTGATCCTTATAAAAATGGATACATGTATTACTATTCTCTATTAAAGTGTACTCTGAAAAAACCACTTCACATTGTTATATGGTCGGTAATTTAGTATTTCTGTGTTTATTTTATACTCCCACCTATCCCTTTAGCCTAAGAACGTCTAAAATGCTGCATGTTTTCTTTATGTAAATTTTTAATGTTGAAGTTGTAGTGATAGTCACCTATTTGTATCTAAGGGAAAACTCCACAAAATATTTTATTTCCTTTGTTCTGTTTCTCACGGTTAAAAAGTTATAGTAAGGTATAGTTTCATAGAAAACTAAGGAAGAAATTTAATTTTTCATAGAAAATTTAAATTAATCAAGGCCATCAATAATTGTAATTATTTTGCATATAAGTATATTAAATATATAATTATAAATATATGTGTTTTATGTATTTATTATATGTCTTTTCAGTTATTCTTCTCGACAACCTTGAAACTCTTGTATTCATTTTCAAGTATGTTTAGGTGATGCTTTTGCAGGGGAGAGGAGGAGTTCCCTAGGAACTTAAAATTTGTGGTGGAAGTTACTTCCTTAGGATTTTCATAAATCCATTTGAGAGTATATCATATTTTTTTCATATGTGCCTCTTCTCCTGAAGTCAGTTTTTTTCTATATCAAATTCGTGTAGCATGTTCATATTTTGAAATGATTAAAATTGTGACACTATGATTTCCATGTAACCTAATTATCTTTTCATCTATTCCACCAATCCCACTATAAAGGTTCTTATGAGACCTTTATTTCTCCCACATAGTGGAGGAAATTATGATTAAATTAAAATACCACAGTTCTAATGTTGGTTCTTTTGAAGTCTTTACTAATTATTCAAATAATGTAACTGCACCATCAGTTTTCAATCAATGTTGAGAGTCATTGGTGTCTTATTGCTTGTAAGGTGGGTTTTAATGATTGTTGAAATATGGGTGTTGGACTGAGGTTTATTCCTGTAGTAACAGCACTTTAACTGACTTCAATTTTGACATACTTTGAGGGGAGAAAGGGTGAGCTTACCAGTGTTGAAATGGGAATTATATATAACCTATAGTCTATCTTATATGTGCCCGCTTAAAGGAGAAATTTTTACTGAGGTACTCTCAATAGTGATGATGACTATGGATTATTGTAATTCTTGGAGAGCTGTGAATTTTGATTTCTATTTTCTTTCTACTTTTACAACAAATAAGTTGTTAATGAGGAGGAAAAAAGCAATGATAGGTAAGTATATTTTATACATCTTCCTTGAGCAAAAATAATGCTATGGACATTGTATCACATAGCAGAGTCTATTACCAAATCTAGAATGTTATTAGTAAAAATTGGCACTAACACTGTTCATATTCATAACTATTAATCTATAAGTTCTTTGTATTTATATATTTCTAATGTTATTCTAATTTTAAACTATAAGACAAGAAATTGCTTACCTTACATTACCTAGGGATTAGAGGTCTGGTAATAATGAAGGTTCACTGTAAAAATAAAGTGTAACTTAAAAATTGGACTACAGATATTTTTATTAAGGAATGTTTTTGAGATACTGAGAAAATTTCACTGTTCACATACTCAGTACAGTCAAGAAGTCTGTGATGTTCTTTCTGTGTTCCATCAACTTTGAGGAATTTCATTAAAACTTAAGTATACTTTTGAAAATTGTGATGTACAGGAAGGACATCTGCCATGTCTGCTGTAAATGGCAAAAAATAAAAACTGCTGCTTTCCTTATTAAAATTGGGCTTATATTTTTCTTACTAAGGGATTATATTTTTTCACTTCTGAAGAGTTTGATTTCCCTGTATTGGTGAACTGAACGTTATATAGCAAATAAATTTATGGATAACATCAAATCCATGGTCTAAAGATTAACGTAAAAATCTTTTGTCTGAAAGTTAAACTAAATATGTAGTTCTCAGTTTCTGGTCTTAAAAATAAGATGGTACAAGTAGGTATTAATTAAGCATTAAGAAAATGTATATTTAAGATCAAAGTAAAACTTATAAACTTAATAAATACTATGTATTTTACATATATTATTTTCACTTATTCTTTTTGACAACCATGAAATGTGTATTGTTCCTTACTGGAGAGGATCATAGTGAAGTCATACCATTTGAGATTTTCCTAATATAGGAACTCAAAGATACTTTTAACATCGAAAGGGAAATGAAGTCCTACTGGGTCATGGCTACGAGTTTTCAAATTCCTGGATTTAGGTTTGTTATTATAACCATATTGCTGTTTCCAGGGTGAGCCCTAGGATCATTTCTTGCATTTTGTGCTGCTTGTCCAGGTTATAAGAAGGAAGTTATAACACAGAGAAAACTCTGGGTCTATGAAGTGCTACTCTTGAAGTCATGGGGCACAAGTCCATCATGCTGGTACTTTAAAATTTTTGCTCACTTTATTCCTGCCTCACAGATTATCATATACGTAGCATCTTAAAACAACAAATGTATTATCTCACAGATTTTGTAATCCAGGAAGGCTCAGCTGGGTCCTCTGCTTAGGGTCTTACAAAGCCAAAATCAATGTATTGGCAGAGCTGCATTCCTTTTTGAAGTCTCTGGGGAAGAATCCACTTCCAGGTTCATTCAGATTGTTGGCTGGATTCATTTCCTTGTAGTAATAGGACTGTCATTCCTCTTTCCTTGCTTAGGGTCTTACAAAGCCAAAATCAATGTATTGGCAGAGCTGCATTCCTTTTTGAAGTCTCGGGAAGAATCCACTTCCAGGTTCATTCAGATTGTTGGCTGGATTCATTTCCTTGTAGTAATAGGACTGTCATTCCTCTTTCCTTGCTGGCTATCAGCCAAGTGCTGGTCTTTGCTCTAAGAAGCTAAAATGCTTTCCATGTGGCCCCCTCCAGTAATGGCAATTCAGGTTGCCTTCAGGCTTCTAAGAACTATCTGACTTTCTGTCTGAATCTGATTCCAGATGAAGAAAGTTATCTGCTCTTGAGGACTCATTTGATTAGATTGGGCCCATCTGCATAACCTAGGATACTCTCCTTTTAGGCTCTTAACCATTTTACATCTGTGGAGTCCCTTTTGCCATGTTATATAACCTATTCACTGATTCCAGGGATTAGACTATGGACATCTTTGGGGGGGCCATACTGGCTCCTACACTCATCTGCTCCTGAAGAGAAATTTGATAAACTGTACCCCCTTGCACATTTCTAAGTTGATTTCTAAAATTTTTCATCATAAATTTAAATAGTTGATGAAAGTATAATTTCTGGCTTTTCTAGATATTGACACCACTCTTTTATAATTACCTAAATACCACAGTGACTTGATATTGTCATTGGTTTTAAAAAACAAACTTGAATTGATTCATCTTTAACACCTGGAAAGTTTCATTGTTCCTTTTTTCTTCTTTTTTTTTTTTTTTCCTTTTTTTTTTTGTCTTTTTTCGTATCCGGCAATGGACCGCAACCCTCAGTGTCGCGCCTGTACCGGACCGGGACCGGCAACGGGATCGCAACCCTCGGTGCTGCGCCCGCCCCTCGCTCAGCCAGTGAGCGGGAACGGTCTGTATGTGGGATCCGAACCCTCGGCGGGAGCGCCGCCGCACTTCCGAGCGGCACACTGTAGCAGTGCGCCACCGGGCCGGCCCCTCCTTTTTTCTTTTTAAACTGTAATTTTCTGCCACCTCTCCAACATAATTTTATTTGAATGCAGTGTATTTTAATGTTTCAAGATATTTTATTGATGACCTTATACTTCTTTGAAACAAATATAAATTTAACTTTTCAAAATTTCTTACTGACTTATCTTTTTTTCATACTCATGGAACTCCCTCTCAGGATAATATAGTATTTCAAGACTGGAAGAGGCAGTCATTTATAAAAATTTTTTGGTTCCCGTCATCACACCATACAGTATATCTGAACTCAAAACATTCCTAAACACAAGGTAGAATGCCATTCGTAAAGCCATGTTTTGCCTTTAGCAGGAATATTTATGAGAGAGAAAGACACAAGCCTGGGGGTTAATAGTGCTTTGATTAATGGAGGCTTTAAGACACTCATACTTTAAATCATGCATTTGTTTTGTTTCATTGTGGTTTTTCCAACTGGGGGCAATGCATTGTAATAAGATTTGGGACGGTGAGAGGTATTAGTTTCTTTTGAAAAGTGGGAGAAAGAGGACACAGCGACAGTAAACAGATCATTTTTAGGAAAGCAAACAAAGAGAAGTTGAAGATACAGAAGTTGATTTTCTTAAAACTTGTCTCGCTCAAATATCCCTTGGAAAGCCTTAGAGTACCTTCAGTAATAGTACCTCAGTTTGAACACTGCCACTTTGATAGACCGTCCCCCTCCTGCCTTGCTCCTGTCCTCCGACAAGGACAGAAGCTCACTTCTATCACCGAGGATTGCCTCAGTGTTTGTTAGACTCTTCTGAGTCTATGCCCAAGAGAGGATTAATTCCTTTCTCACACTAATGCCTACCTTTTGGGCCCTGTTTCCTGGCACAGTATTTCTTTTACCAGGATACTTGCCATTAATGGTGTTTGAACATTCAGTGGAGATCCTACCCCCTACCCATAGGTTAGTTGTATTTAATTATAAGAATTACATGTACAGTAGGTAGGGTAGTAGCAGTAAAGGAGAAATTCCTTACATCTGTGCCTTTCAAGTTACCAAAAAAAAAAGACATTATTTTTAATGTTTTTCAAAGTTTGGATGATAATCTCTACATTGCATGTGTAAGAGGTAGGCAGGTACAGCTGGCTTGCTTAATCTTCCTGCCTTTTGCTTGAAGTGACAATAATACCAGAAGTCTGTCTTGCTGTTTTTTAGGGTTTTAGTTCCTGATCTTTTGTGAGCAACTGCTGAAATAAGAACACTAGTATCTCTATACAAATTGAAAAAAAAAAAAAAAAACTTTTTTCCAAAAGAAACAGTTTGTAGAAATGTATTTCTACCTAGAAGATGTGAACCTTTACATTTTCCCACATAGCCATTTGTCCTTTGAAAAGCTGCTCTACAGTCCCCATTTAACATTTTTTATAGCTAAATACCCTATTTGAGTCCTTTTTCCCTTTAAGGAACAGCCTGTATATAAAACAAAACGTTGTCAGCTTTGAAATGAGACCGTTTCTAGTATCTGGTGTTCACATCAAAGTTTTAGACATGTCCAGGATGTTTCAGCCAATCTTATTCAAGGTAAAGTGCAGAACTTCTTTCCAACATTCTGTGGAATAGGAAATCTGTCGAGTTCATACATGGTCTAATAATGGGAGTTCGGCCCTGAGTTAGGGGTAGAGGAAAAGTCTACATCCCTTTGACCAGGATCATTTCCTTTTTCTAATGTATTTTGATAATTGAGCTTTCTGCCAAATTCTCAACCCAGTCTCCCCTTGGACACCATTACTTACATAAATGGTTCTGTATAATCATTTATGAGTTTTTGTTGACAGTTTATGTGAGTTTACCCTGCCAAACTATAACAATTTAGGTTGTTTCTTTGCTCTTACATTGTCATTTTGGTGTTCAGATTTTTCTGTTCTTTCTCTGTCACTCAAAGATTGGCCTTGCATATTTAGATAAGTACTTATGAACTTAGGTCTTTCTCCTTGGCCACTGGCAGGACCTTGAGCTTTTGAAAGTTCCCTTCAGTATACTGCCAGGGCATCTCTATGAGGAATCCAACCGTCTTACATTTTAGAATGAAATGAGTATGGTGACAGAAACAACTAATTGTTCACCAATCATTCATTTTCTTCTTTTTCCTTATTGGTAGATATTGCAATTTTTATCTAAGCTAGCAATGGCCATATGACTAAGTTCTGGCACATGGAGTGTAAATAGAAGTTTCTTGTGAGATTTCTGAAAAGTTTTCTTAAAGGGAGGCTATTGCACATCTCCCCTTTTTCCTCTTGCTGTTTGATCAGCAGATGTGATAGCTAGAACTTGAGCAGTTATTTTAAAACCACAGAGAAGCCATATGTTGAGGATGGCAGAGTAACAAAATAGAAGGACCCTGAGTTCCTAATGATCATGGTTCTAGACTGCCTATGTTTACATGAGAAAAATAAACTTCTGAATCATTTAAGCCATTGTTATTTTGAATTTTCTGTCGTTAACTGCTGTGCCTAATCCTAACTGAAATAGATATAAAAAAGTCATGTTGTTTCCAAATAAGCAGCACATTAACTGGTTCTGGTGGATGTTACAGTTCACTGCAGCAGTATTAACTGCTGTGCCTAATCCTAACTGAAATAGATATAAAAAAGTCATGTTGTTTCCAAATAAACAGCACATTAACTGGTTCTGGTGGATGTTACAGTTCACTGCAGCAGTAATATACAAGATGCAGCAATGACACAAGAAAAGCTATTAATTTCCCTCTAAGAATTTTGATGCTCAAATTCAGCACTGCCATTTCACCTATTATCTGTGACACCCCACCTCACTGCCCAAGTCTATTATGGTAAAAATCTTCATTTCTCCTTAATCAAGGTTCCGTTTCCTTCCATCTTTGAAACTTATATCTCTGATAGGTGGTAATGTGCCAGGAGTTATGGAAGGCCACAGGATAAACATCTTCCTGGAGCATTGAAGATTTTGGAGGAAATCTTAATTTTTGTATTAAAATATATGGAATGGAAGGCATATTCATATACAATTTTTAAATATAAATTAAAGGAAACATTTAAAAAATTTCTTTATGGGGACTAGCCAGTTAACCAAGTTGGTTAGACCACAGCACAGTAACAGCAAGGTTGCGGGCACATGTTCAGATACCTGCTGTGGCCAGCTGCCCAAAAAAAACAAGCTTAAAAAAAATTTCATTATGGAGTTGAACTGCATGAGTTCTATTTGTTTAGATCCCACAGGCTAGAGTTTACTCTTTTCTGCCTGTTCTTTTCCCTAGGATACTAGATGGAAACTTAAGAAGTACTGCTTACTTGATAAGAGCAAAGGGATTCCTGGCAGCAGAGTGAATAAAGCTCATGGCTCACCAGCTGGAAAGGTAGGAGATTTTAAGCTTTTAATGCAAAAGTGTTCTTTTTATTTTGTGATTGTCTGTCAGATACTAAACTTAGTAGATATTTCCAGACAGCAATCCTCAGAATACTACTATCTTACCATATTGATAGTATTTAGTAAAAAAAGATTCTGAGGTTCAGCAAATTTAGATACGTCCTTTGGAGATAGAATGCATATCAGCATATAAAAGCATATAACTGAAGACTTATGTTAATGTGTTTAATTTTGTTAACCAGAAATCCTTAAACTTATCTGACTTAGGGAGCCCCCTGTAGCAAAGGGTCCTGATATAAATGTTCCAATTCTCCTATGATTTTATGAGTATGGTAACAGGAGTTAATCCGTGAGATATTTTTGTATTTCAAAAATATTTTGTGCAAAAAGTTTACACACACTAAGGCTGTACAAGCTAACTAAAATGTCAAATTTATTTCTTTTTGCATAGAATTATATCAACTAAGTTTATTACCACAGTTGTCTCATGCTGATCAGAAACATTAGTTGGAAGTTACATAGTCCCTCAAACATACCTTTATTGAATATCTACTATGTGCCAGCCACAGTGTGGTGATGTTCGATATATAGAGTACAATGGCTTTTGATCTCAAGCCATTTACAGCTTTGGGAGGTAGCTTCTAAAAATGGAAGGGAAATATCAATTTAATAAATGTGGTCTGGCATATAAAATCTTTCAAAACATGGTGGTCTAGTGATAGACTATGTCAGATATATCAAGATACATAAGCAAATTGGCCTATGCTGTTGTACCTGAATCTGGAGGTTCACATCAAAAGAAACTATGCATAAATGCAGAGTTACTCTAATTCTGACAGAAACTTGGAAAATCTAAATGTATGTATATTTAAAAAGTAAAAAATTTTAAAGCAAGTGTAAGGAGGAAAGGATGGTAACATGATGATTTTTTCTTACATACTGATATCTGCATTAAATAATTTTAAGCTACTTAACTAACTTAAATGTTCGAAATTACTGAGTTGGTTAGAAGTATTCTCTGTAAAATATAAGTTCCATGAGGGCAGGAACTAAGTCTGTATCGTTGTATCCTAGAGTCTAGTACAATTCCTACTCTATTGCATGTGCTCAGTAATGTTTATTGACTGAATGACTAAATAAATGAGAGATCTGAATCTCAGGGTAGGAGAGTAGTGGATGGGCTGCTACTAAGAAAGGAATGGATGAGTGAGAAGTGAGAGAATTCTAGGCTGAAGGAGGAAGCTGACTAAAAGCCTGTATAACTAGAGTCTGAGAGTAAAGTATAGCCTAAGAGTAGGATGGAAAGCAGCAGTCAGTTCATGCAAGGGTCTGAAAGCAATGTTAAGGATTTGAGGCTTTATCCTGAGAGCATTATTCTTCATAACTGGTCCTTCTCTCTCATTTTGACTAGCACTACTTGAGTTCAGATCATCTTTCTCTTGAGTTTAGCAGTAGCTTGTGCTGGTTTTCTTATGCATAGTGTTGCCCTCTCTAACCTATCCTCAATACTTCTATCAGTGATCTTGCAGCAATGCTCCTCTAATTACCTAGTTCACCTACTTAAAATCTTTCAATTTCTTACAGCAGGGTTAGGCAAACATTTTCTTTAAAAGGGGCCTGATAGTAAATATTTTAGGCTTTTGGGGGACTACATATGGTCTGTTACATATTTTTTCTTTGTCCCCACACCCATACCCCCATATTTAAAAATGTGAAAAACTTTATTAGCTTAACAGTTTGGCCCAGGGCCATAGTTTATAATCTTGGGGGAAGGGGAATATAGGGTACAGGATTGGTAGGGGGGTGAAAGTGGAATCCAAACTCTTTACCGTGGTATTAAAGGCCCTTCAAGATTTGCTTACTTCTCTGGCCTTACTTGCTTACTTCTCTGGACTTACCTCTCTTCCCTTAACCTTGTATCCCATGCTTCAGCCATCAGAAGTTCTTAGAGATCCCTCATGAACTCTGCTTTGTTGTGCCTCAACGTGCTGTCTCCTCTGAAATATCCTTGACTGCCTCATGCCTCTTCCTTTGAGAAGACTCAACTCAGGCATTACTTCCTTCAGTAGCCTTCCCAGGCCCTCTCCAGGGTTGATGAGTTGCTTAGGGAATAAAAACTCAATCGGATAAATTCAAGTGTTTTTTTTTTTTTTTTTTTTTTTTTTTTTTTTTTTTTAAGGGAACTTACGCTAAGGATACTCCAATCACAGAAAACATAGTTGGGCATCACAAAAACTACTTTCTGCATGGTTTCTTATCTCTGTTTTTCTGTGCCATCTCCATTCTGGCTTTCATAATTCCTTATCAGTGTGAACATGACAGAAAATGTCTACCAGTCCTAGGTATGACTTTGAGTTTCTTGTGCCCACCTTTTTTGACTGATTTTTCTTCTTTTTATAATTTTCCTGAAGAGGTAGTCTGATTGGCTTAACTTGTTAGATGTCTTCCTTGGCTCACCTCTGGCAGGTATGTCAGTCATGGATATTTAGGGTTGCCCTTTACTGCACTGTTGGCAGATCAGGCTCTCTAAGAGAGAGCAGTATGGGTGCTAAGGAGAGATGACGAGCTCCAGTAATACTCCTTATGTTCCAATAGCATCTGTGTTTATTTTTATCTGTACGTGGGTACTTCAGAAAGTTCGTGGAAAATTATATTAAAAGATAATATGAATCTTTCTATGGACTTTTTGAGGTACCCTCATACATGTATCACTGAATTATTATTATTTTCACTTGTTTAACTTTGTTACTAGTCTGATTTTAAGGGCAGGAACTGAATCTCTTATTTTTAACATTGTGTTGGATACAAAATAGGCAGTCAAATATTTTCCAAATAAATTTCATAAAATAAATGATTTCTATTGGAAATATTTGAGAGTGCTGTATTTTGTATGTAACATTTAATATTTTCCATATTTTAGAAATTTGCTTTGAAACTTGAGTACATGCTTGAGAGGTAAGAGTTTGCAACATTTATAGTTCTATAAATAAGTAACTAGAAGATTGGTCAAAATTGTTCAAATTGGTCTGAAATTCACATTTCAGAATCTAGAGATTTCTAAAGTTAGTCACCGGAAGTTTATTGATTCACCCTTCCATTTTTGTACATTCATTTACCAGCACTATTTTCTCTGAAGTGAATTGGTTTCTTTCTTTATCTGTTTTTGGTAGAGATCTAGAAAAAGCAAATATTTTTAACAACTAAATTATTTGAATGATAGAATTCAAAATAGCATACGAATATTGATACTACAGCCTAAAGGATCTTCTATCTTGCTTAATATATTTAGCCCACATATCATAATAAAAAAAGGGAACAAGGGAACTGCCTCATAGGATAATTGTGTCATATCACCCCTTGAGTTTTTATTTAGATTTGTAATTGTTCTATTGTAGTGTGATTCTGTTTACTCTTAACCTTGCAGTACAGAATGTAGTTTTTCTGTTCCTAAACATATCTCATAACATGAAAATTATAAACCAGAAACAAAGAGAATTGTTAGACAATCAGTATATTTTGTAGTGTTTTTCTCATGACTACTGCTAAAAGCTATATGATGCTAGTTATGTAATGGTTATATAGTGAACTATTATTGTGCATATTATTTACATACAACTTAAACTCCTTCTATAAGAATTTTTCTTTTTGTTTTTTAGTTCAAAAGCCTTTAAGAGTAAATTGCCAATATGATGCCCCATTACACCCTAATACCTTATTTTCTTTAAGACATCCTCCTACAAAACAACAATATAACTATGAAAGTCAGAAATTAACGTTGATATATGTATTTCTTCCATCTCACCTGCATATCACATTTAAATTTTGTCAGCTGTTCCAGTAACATCCTTTATAGCAAAAGGATTCAGTCTGGAATCTCACATTGCAATTATTTGTCATATCTCGTTGGTCTTTTTCAATCAGAAATAGTTCCTGAGTCTTTCCTTGACTTTAATAAGTTGGACACTTTTGAAGATTACAAGAGCACAGTTACTTTGTAGCATTTACCTCAGTTTGGGGTTCTGTAATATTTCTTCATGATTAGATTCAGGTTGCGTATTTTTGGCATGACTGTCATAGAATTGATGCCATATATGGTATTCTTAGGGGCACGTGATTTTGATTTTTCTTATTTCTGGTGGTGTTAACTTGGATCAGTTGATTAAAGTGACGTTTGCCAGGCTTTGGAATTGATGCCATATATGGTATTCTTAGGGGCACGTGATTTTGATTTTTCTTATTTCTGGTGATGTTAACTTGGATCAGTTGATTAAAGTGACGTTTGCCAGGCTTTTGTAGTGTAAATTACTCTTATGCCCTTAGTGATTAAACTGTATTTTATAGGGAGGTACTTTGAGACAATGTAAGTATCCTGTTCCTTATCACACTTTCCGTTTATTCTTTTATATCAGTGTGGATTCATGGAATCCAGTTTTATTCATGATGTGATCCATTACTATCATAATTTTTTTTGGTTCTCAAACTTTCCACTTTCTGGCCAAATCTGTCAGTCCTTCCTTATTTTCTGGCACAAGATATTCAAGGCCCATTCTGTACTTTCCCTGTCCCAGCCCTGTAATCAGCCAATTCTTCAAGGAGCCCAGATCCCTTTTGGTGAAGAATGGTATTTAGACACCGAGATCTGGGTGCTGCTAAGTGCTTATTGCTATTGGGGTTAACAGTGTTCCCAGGCCCTTTTGGTGGACACAGCTAAGGAAATAATAAACATATATGCATATGTATACACACATTTACATCTGTATTTCTGTATCTTTATTTCTGTATTGAAAGTCATGAGTTCACACCAGTATCTCCAAATATCACCTAATACTAAGGGTCATTCTATATTTATAATTCCCTTTACCTACAGTTTGAATTCACTTTTTCCCAGCACATCCTTGATATATTTACTTATTTGATCAATCCCCATGTATGTATATAATGAATTGCCTGTTGCTCCCCAGACCCTCTGCTCCCCATCAAATAGATGTCCTCCTGCTTGGGTCCTGACACCCTATGCTGGACTAATGGCAACCTCTCTCTTACCTCATGTGGATGCCTCCTCAGCCCACTTGGGCATTGACATCTCCTATCAGGCTGCCTCCTCCCCAACACAGAGAAATTTCCTCAAACAACTCAGACTTCATCCCATGCAAGGCTGAACTCCTCCCTTCAGTCCAGTCTCCATCACCTCCATCCCCCATGGACATCTTTCTCACCCTTCCTCAGCTCAGACACTGCACTGGGCTGCCCATGGTAACCTGTCTGAGCTACAACCCATGCAGACTCCCTTTTGTTTGTTTTTTTCTGGAGACTTGGCTTTTATATTAATTTTAAGTTATAAGAAATGTTTTGCCATTTAATTTCTACCATTTTCATTTGTTCATCTTAAAGTGTTTTTCTTTAGTATTCCCTTTTCTTTTTGGCATTTCATATTATGTGTGATTCCACTTGATAGTGGATATGTCTGACAACTTTAGAAGCTCCAAAAGAGTCTTTCTATATGATATTTTTAAAAAGTAGTTTACATAAAATTTCTATATAGTTGGAAGGCACAGAGTGGCAGGAGAAATTGTCTTGTCTCATTTCTGGCCGTAAGTCATTTCATCCTTTCATACCTCAGTCTCCTCATTTGTAGAGTGAATAGTTAGAACTAGATCAGGAACAAAATGAGGTACATGATCAGAAATCTATGTCATAAGAAGGAGCCTATGATCTATATTCAAGAGAGAATTTTGGACTAACATTTTAGTTTTTAAAAATGGGCAGTGGAAACATTTCACAGAGAACTACAAATAACCACTATATATTTGAAAAAAGTTCAACCTCACTAGTGTGTCATGATATACAACTTTAAAATTAGTATTTTTACTAATCTGATAAAAATGATTAGATCATATCCACTGTTGGTGTAAGTGTTGAGAAATGTCTTTCTATACTGATAAAGTAGAAATCAATGCTGCATTTTTGGAGGACAGTTGATAATATAAATCAAAAGCCTTAAAAATATGCCTTAAATTTAACATAGCAATTTCATTTCTAGAAGTTCATCCCGTGGAAATTATTACAGTTATTGCACAAAGGTTTGTCCCAAAGATATTCATTGATGATAAAAGTTCATTAATGGAGTATCCCTGTGATGTCATATCCCTGTGATATCATATCCTGTGATGGAGTACTATATAGCCATTAAAAATGACATCTTCTATTTAATGACATTACTATTTAATGAGGTGGCAGAATTTAGATAATTGCGTTTTAAAGGAAGTTGTAGTACTGTTTTTACAATTTTTAAAGTTATATATCTCCACACATTGACAAGACTGGAATATGAACTCTGAAATGTTAATAGTAATTTTCTCTGAATGGCAGTATTCCAGGTGACTTTTATTTACTTCCTTTTGCTCTTCAGTATTATTCTAGGAGCAAATTTAAAGTTCTTTACAATGTCTTAGTTCTTTAGGTATAATTTAGTTTATATAATCAAGAAATAACAAGTGATCATCTAACTCCAACTAAAACTTTAGCTTTAAGCGTTTTCTAGAATTATGTAAGATTGGTCATTTATGCAGGATACCTAATAGTAGAAATTGCTTTGGCCATGTTGTCACAAACAAAATTTAAGATATAAATTTAACAAGTTTGAGACTCTAAAATAAAATGCTACACTTACAGCAATAAAATAGAGAAAATATGAGGAAGATATACATGTTTATATGTGGAATTGTCTTAGAAAACTGGAAAGAGGAAACCTTTACTTTTGTACTGATCTATTTCTGCAGCAGAGCACCAAGCAAATGCCCTCAGTTCATAGGATGTTCTCGTGCCTGTATTAAAATGGCTGGTGTCTATTATCTCATAATACATTGTATAGATTTCTTCCTTTCCTTTAGAGTTTTCAGGGAATTACTTTTCTCCTTCCTATTTTCTGCCCCACCTCTTTATCTCTACTCTTAGGAGCAGTTGATATTTATTGCTCTTTACCCCAGAGCTATTTTTGGTCATATTTCTCATTTGAGGTTGAGAAAGTTGTTCATATGGAGGAATATTCATTTTTTTCCCTGAAGTAACATATATAGCATACATGTTAAAAATTTTGTGGATTCAGATCTGAAAAATATTTGTGTAGTACTGTATTGGTTCATAAGAACCATGTGCCCAGGTAAAATTTTAAAGTGTTAGTAGTAAAGCTTCATGTTGGATTTACTTTGGAGGAAATGTCAGAGGCACTTTATTAAGCCACTGCTTGAAGAAAGACAGAGAGCAGGTTGCCATTTCAAACCTGGAAGATATGCTGAGTTTTTATAGGGTGTGAAATGAAGAATCCAGCTCATGATGGGAAAGGAGGAAGAAAAACAAAGTAAAGTAAGTTTCATTCACTTAAGTAATTATCAGATACCATTTATGGTCACTAGCCATGGTCTTTGACTTCATGCAGTTTTGGCAGATTATTTCACAAAGGTTGATTTCCACACTTTGAGTATATTTTTTTAAAAGAGATCAAGGTAGACTTTTAGAAACAGTTTTTTGAGGTATAATTGACCTACAATAAAATGCATATATTTAAAGTGTACAACTTGATCAGTTTTGACTTATGTGTATACACTCATAAAACCATCACCACCATCAAGATATGATTTATTCATCACCCTCAAAAGTTTCCTCATGCCCCTCCATAGTAGTGTGGGTGCTATAAGCAAAGCATAAGCAACACAGAAAGCTTAATAGGAAAAAATTTCAATTTGAGTTATGAGGAAGGTATCACAAAGAAAGTGTCATTTCAACTGGGCCTTGACAATATAATATCAAAGAAGGCAGACATTTATCTAGGAGGGTATATTTTAGGTATAGTGAAGAGAATATGCAAATTGAGGGTCATTTTTCAGAGGCTGCCAGGCAGTCCGACATTGTTAAAATGGGCCATGGTGATTGGAAATAGCACTTAGCAGGAGGTGAGATTGGAAAGAAAGGGTAGCTCAGATTGTATTTCTTTAAGTATATATATTTAACCCCTAAAAGATTGAATCTAATAAGATTTACTAGGTGGATAATTACATTTGTTTCTAAAATGTTCGGTGATAGTTTTGACTCTTAATTTGGGGTTGTAGGAAAAGGAGGTCTGAGTTGAATGCTTGATTAGCTAGTGTAAGCTTCATCACTATCCTGGAAGCTCCATGAAGGCCAGGTACCTATCTTAATTCACCACTATATCCTCAGCATCTAGCACAAAGCATCTAGTGCCAAGCACAAAGTAGACACTCAGTTGTTGATTGAAAGAAGAAAAGGGAGAACTTTGGCACTAGATCATGAGAGCAAGGAAGATAAAGAAGTGTTAGGAGAAGAGTTGAAAGATGAGGAAACCAAAGAAGCTGACTTCTTTTAGATTTTTCCTGGATCCCCCCTGTGTGTTCTCATGACAGTAATTTTCCTACCAGTATAGTTTGTAGATGTTTGCCAGAGAGTGGTGTAGTGTATTTACAGTTCTCTACCTGCAGTCATTGACTTTCCTAACAATTTATAGTTTGACATTTTCGAGGTTTCTATTGTGAGCATTATTTCCAACCTTGCTGTAAAAAGGAGATAAGCCTGTATTTAGAGGCTCGAGACTCAGATTAACAAAGAGATAGCATTGAAGCCTCCTAGAGGAATTATCATTTATTCTCAAGGTGTTTGAAATGGTGATATTTACAGCTACCTCAGATAGGTATTAAAAATGGTAATAAGGGAATGGGCATTTTTATTGGTTGGCCAGGAAATAGGCTGCTTTGTAGGTGAACCTGTTTTGTAGGGGAGGAACCATTGTAGCTGTGGGAGAGTAGAAAAGATTAGAAGAATACCAAGGGGTTAACTCCCTTAGAAAGCTTTTCTAGAACTATCAGATTGGTCCTTGCACTATCTCTGTACTCTTCATAGTATTTTAACTCATATTACCAAATTAATTGAAATTGTACTTCTATATTTCTCTTTCTTCTGCTAGACTGAAAGTTTCTCAAGTGCAGGGACTGTTTGTTTTTCATCTTTGGTGTTTTCATATTGTTGATTAAATGTTTCTCGAACTTAACTAAGCTAGGCACTGTTTTAGGTAGTTAACCCAAAGATAAGCTCCTTGCCCTCATCAAGCTCACATTCTACTGGTAATGACAGAACCATGACTTTTATAAATTTCTCTTGGATTAGTTTAATGTTCTTTTCTTTCTCCTCATGGGCAACAGGGTAAAGTTGGATGTGAATGGAGAAATGAAATCCTACCAGATAGAAGATTTATTTGCCTGGGGCTAGGGAAGAAACTTTCTTCTTTCTGTCACCTATATCACATAGACCTTTACTCCAGGACTCAGAGCTGTGGCTATTACACATTCCCCCACAGGAATTATTCAGTTTTTCAATTCTTGAAACCACATTTATAAGCAAAATTATGAAAAATATAATTTTCTCTATGTACCATTGGCTTGTTTGGATAAGAATATAATTAGTTACTCTGGTTACCACTAGATAGGGTTTTAGTGAGTATAAGATGAAGTATTGGCAGAGTTTAAAAATGGGCCCCTGACCTGAGTCATTTCAGTGTGCTGTACTTGTCCTTAAGCTAATATCAAATAAGCAGGTGGTGAAGATACGGAAGAAGGAGCTGTTTGTATAGATCAGCTACATTATGGGACAAATAAATTTTGATGAGTTAGGCTGAGAACCTGACAACCACTGAGTATACTTTTCACCCCTTTGGTGGAGTTGGATATCTTAATATTTATGGTTAAGGCATTTATATGAATATTCATATTTCAGGAGCAGTACTCTATTATAAAGATTCTTAAAAGTGACTGGGTTTTTGGATGATAGTAGTATTACAGAGAGTAATTGAAGTGCTTTTATTTTCTACAGTGTTTCAAGAAGTATTTCAAAACTATTTTTAACATGTGAAACCACTTTGTTTTTCAGTATCCTTGCCGTGAGAAAGAGGACGTGATAAGTTGTTCAACTTATGAAATTCAGATTACATGTGAATTCTGCCAGGTATGTGTGCAATATTTGGTATTTCCAGCCATTTTTCATATTTTAAGTTATAAAAATTTGCATAGGTTGTTTCTATTAGATAAATATTTTAGTGGGTTTTTTCCATAAATAAGAAACCAATTATGTAGTATGTAGTTTAGTTGATACTCCTATTCTGTTTTTTAAATTATCAGATAAAAAGCATCAAAATACACTTAACTATGAGAAACAAATATATTTTATGGTTTTGATTTCTTCTAAAATGAGTTCCAAATAATAATAGCCCCATGAGATGTTCTACAAAAAAGCGTTCAAATAGCAAATAGCTGTTGCAAAAATGCCATGTACTGGGTGTTCCCCTGGTCATTTCACTTGAGTGTATTAAAGGCTTTGAAAGTCCTGCAAAACATATACATACCTCAACATTTCCCAGATTTGTTTGTCCACATTCCTTTTTTTTTAATATTAGCTACTGACATTCCTATGGAATTGTTTTGGGAAACCTTACTCTGAAAGGTTAATAAGCTAGTGTTGGAAAAGGAACGATGTTACAGAATTATTGGTTAGTCAAATAGAGTTGCTATATATAATTTCTAGAAAGAAAGCAAAAACAAACCTACAAGTTGATGGATGGAATAATTGGGAACTTTATGTCAAAATTAAAAGTAGGAACACAATCTTGGCTTGTATCTTTTTGTAATTGTGTTGTTTGAATCAGGATCCAAAAAGGTTCTTACATCAGGGAGGGTACTTCAGAAAGTTTGTGGAGAAAATAAAATTAAGAGACAATACAAATCTTTCCATGAACTTTTTGAAGACCCCCTCATACATTTGGTTAGTGTGTTTATTAAAACTCTTGCTACCTAAAACAGTTCCCACTTCGTCTGCTTTTTTTCCTCCCATGACGTATATTTGTTGAAGAGACCAGGTCAATTGTCCTGTAGATTTTCCCATGTATTTGATTTGGCTGACTGCTTCCTGGTGGTGGTGTTTGACATCTTTTTCTGTATCCAGTATTTTGTTGCAGTTGGAGCTAGAGAGGCTTGATTAGATTGAAGTTTGATAACCCTCCCCACAAATACTTCATGGCTTTCATCATATCAGGAGGCACCTAAGGTCTATTTATCCTACCTTTAGTGTTGTTAATTTACGACCAACCGCCTTGAGCCAACCATTATAAAGTTCCTATCATCTTTTCTCCTAATGGTTTAAAAATCAGACATTGATGACAGTTGCCCAGATCCATTTTTTCATTGGGATTTAAAAAGTGGTGATTTTCTAATTATTTTATTATCTCTGTACTTATTAGATGAAATACTTCTATGAAGAACTTTTCCTTCATCAACTATTTAGTTACCTGAAGTACAGTTTATGCAAAAAAAGGCAGAATAAGTGCTGATCTTTTTTCTTTGTTTACCAATTTTCATATGCGGACAGAGTTTCTTAGCTGTTGGGTTGCATGGCTTGCTCGTCTGTCATAGAAGTCTTTACTGATTTACTATATGCCAGGTTTTCTTTGAATCTCTTATTCCACCTATACTAGAGTCCTGTGAGAGTCAGTCATTTTTAAATATGTATATTCTTTCACTTTTTATTGTTTTCTGTAGTATGTGTCCCTCTGCACTCTAAGGTTTCCTGGACGCTGTCTGGACGAGGTTACTACATAATTTTTGTCTTATTTTTCAGTATTTGGTTAGATATACTATTTTGTTTTTTACTTTTTATTGTGGTATAACATATAGAATAAAATGCACTATGTAGAGTAAAATCTGTTTTATCAATCTTTTCTTTTATGGGCGTTGCCTTTTGTGTCTTGTTTAAAAAAACCTTTGACTATTCCAAAATCATGAAGATTGTTTCCTATTTTTTCTTCTATAAACTTTTGCTTTGCCTTTCACATTTAGATTGTGATCCACTGTGACTTAATTTTTAGTGTCATGTGAGGTAGGAGTCAAATCGTTTTTTTACTTATGTATACTTACTTGACATAGCATTGAAGGCATTGAAAAGTCCTGCAAAAATAAAGCCTACATACTCGAGCATTTCCCAAATTTATTTGGCTACATACCATTTTTGTAAAATAGCTACTAATATCCCTATAGAATATGCTTTGGGAAACAGTGAGTTAAAAGAGTTGGTGTGCTAATGTTGTAAAAGAAATATTACACAATTATTAGTTGAGTCAAACACTGTCATTATGTAAAATTTCTAGAACCTGTTATTGAAAAGACCATCCTTTCTGCACTGACCTGAAGTTGAGTCTTTGTACAGGGTACTTCAGAAAGTTCATGGAAAAATAGAATTAAAAGATAATACAAATCTTTCCATGAACTTTTTGAAGACCTCTGGTACAAATCAGGTGACCTTATATGTGGGTCCAATTCTGGACTCCTTTCTGTTCCACTGCTTTGCATGTTTATCATTGGATTGATACCACATTATCTTGATTATTATAGTTTTATAATGGGTCTTGATATCTGATAAGTCCTGTAGCTTGATTACTGTTCTTCAGGACTGCCTCGCTTATTCTGGGTCTTTTGCATTTCCTTATAAATTGTGAACTCAGTTTCCACATACACATAAAACCTACTGGGGTTTTAATTGGAATTGCACTATATGTCTGATAGATTGATTTGGGCAGAACTGTCATCTTATTAACATCAAGTCTTCCAATCCATGAACATGTTACATCCTCCACTTATTTAGGCCTTTTTAAATTTTTTGTGGTAATGTTTTGTAGTTTTTGTTTTTATGTATGGTGTACAATTTTTATTAGATTTATTCCTACATATTTGTTTTTAGTGTTATAAATGGAATTGATGAGATATAAAGAAGAATATAATTGAGTAAATGATCAAAGCCAAAAGTTAAAAAATAGCAATAAAATGGATAAACCCCTTAGCAAGACTGATTAAAGAGAAAGGAAGTTAGCAATATTGGGAATTTAATAGGAGATATCACCACAGATCTAGTGGACATGAAAAAAAAAAGAGGATGTTATGAATAACCATGCTAATACATTTAAATTGTAGATGTAATGGACAAATTCCTGGACAACAAAATGATAAAAGAATTTTAGTTTATATGTATTTAAAGATACTGAATTCATGATTTAAAATCTCCCCACAGAGAAAAACCCAGGTTCAGGTGGCTTCACTGGTGAATACTTCAAACATTTAAGGAAGAATTAATATGAATCTTACACAGATTCTTGCAGAGAATTGAACAGAATTAACATGTTTCAACTTTTATAAAGCCATCGTGACCTTGATACCTGGCAAGTTTGTCTCTCATGAGCATAGATATAAAAATCCAAAACCAAGTATTACCAAATAAAGTGTGTGTGTGTGTGTGTGCGCGCGCCTCCGTCCCCATAGGGGGATTTATTCCAGAAATTCTGGTTGGTTTGTCAGTTGAAAATCAGTGTTGATTTACAACATTAAAACAATAAAAGAAAAATAAATCATCTAAATAGATGCAGAAAAGGCACTTGATAAAGTTCAATGTCTATTCATGATTAAAACTCTCAGGAAACAGACTGAATACAAGAAGCAAATTATGAGAATCCAGCCACCTTATTCTATTAAGCCAGACATTAAAAGATGTGCAAAAAACTGTGAAGTAATGCCTGCTTTCCTCACTAACATTTTGTTTTGAAAATATATTTAGTTTTTATAAAAATGTTACTTGTGTTAATATGCAATGAATTCGTTCTTTTGGCAGCTGGCCAGTTTGGGGATCCAGACCCTTGACCGCGCTGTTATAACACCACAGTCTGATCAAGTGAACAAACTGGCTAGTCCCCATTTTTTTTTTTTTAATAAATTAACATTTTTATAATTTTTCTGTTTTAATATCTAATGCAGTCAGTATTGATAATAACTTGCATAAACAGAAGTTCTTTGGGGGGTTCTGAATTTTTGAATATAGACAGTCCTTTTTGAGAACTGCTGGGCCATGCGGTCTTCCTCCTCACTCCTTATCTATTTATGTAAATTTCACTAGTGGTCAGTCACAGCCAATCTTGTAGGATACTTTTGCTCATATTTATAAATTTAAATACCAGTATGCCTTGGTTTGTAAAAATTTAAGAGATACTGGAAGAATAATACATTATTCAGGTAATTTGCAAATATCGTGAAGTAGTATTCCAAATTTAGTTGTAAAATAACTTGTGATGCTCACAGATTCTGTAGGTCAAGAATTTGAAAAGGGCACAATGGGATGGATGGCTTGTCTCTGCCTTTTTTATTTTTATCTTTTGCACATTTTTATTGTATCACTTGTCTTATTACTGAGTAGTAAGACTTTTTATAGGTTCTAGATACAAGTCCTTTGTCAGATATATGTCTTACAGATATTTTCTCCCAGTGTGTGGTTTGCCTTTGTCATTGCTTCTTGATGTATAGGCCCTCTGATGGGAAAATTTGAATGGCTTCTCACATTGTGTTAATCTGGATTCTAGGGTAGAATATCCTAAGAAATAGTGTATGGAGAGCAAGCAAATTCCAGATGGCCAAGAAATCATAGAGACTATGATTTCTGACTTGGTCTTTTGTCATTTCCACAGTATTCTATTGATCGAAGTAGTTATAAACCCACTCAGATTCAAGGGAAGGGGACATAGACATGTCCTCTCAACGGGGGAATTTCAGAGAATTTGTAGTCATGTTTTATAGTTGTCAGAGAAAGGTAATAAATTAGATAGATACTGTAACCCAATTGAAATTATACTGTGTAATTAATTAAGAGTAGTTTACCATTTGAACCTGTAATTATTGAAGAGTATTCAGTCTGGTCTGTCAAGATTTTGTGCAGCCAGAACCTCCTTTTTATTACTAAAAGGAAAATCTTTTTAGTATTGGGGAAGATAATTTAATGACATTTGCTTTTCCATCCCCATTTCAAGCTACCTTTGGGTATTTAAAGATCATAAATATCCCATTACATTGTGTGCTTTAGGGTTTGTTCTATAGAGCATAATAATGAAAACTTTGTAGATTTGAGAAAGTGAGTTTTTATTGTTTATTTGGATAATTTTATATAGCTAATTATTCTAAGACAAGGTACTGTATTTATAAAACTAAATTCATAAGATGAATTTTTATTTGGTAAGCAAAGTAACTATGGCAGAAATACCTCTTAGACAAATATTTCCTTTTTTTTTTTTTTTTTTTAATCTGGCTTCAACATTTTTTTCTTATCTTTGATTTTCTGCACTTTGAATATGATATACCTAGGGGTAGATTTTTTGGTATTTATTATTGTTCTCTGGGCTGCCAGGATCTGTGGTGTGGGGGTTTTTTTAATTAATTTTGAAGAATTCTCAGCCATTATTACAAGTCCTTAAAAATATTTATTCTCTTCCTTTCTCTTGTTTTTCTCCTTTTGATATTCCCACCACACACGTGTTATACCTTCATCATTGTCCCACAACTCTTGGATATTTTGTTCCACTTTTTTCATTCTTTTTTCTCTTTCCATTTCAGTTCTGGAAGTTTTTATTGACTGTCTTCAAGCTCAGTCATTTTTTCCTCAGTTGTATCCAATATACTGATGAGCCTATCAGGGGCATTCTTTGTTTCTATTACAGTATTTTTGATTTTTAACATTTCCTTTTGATTCTTTCCAAGACTTTCCATCACTCTACTTATATTACCCATGTGTTCTTGCATGTTGCATACTTTTTCCATTAGAGTTCTTAGCATATTATTCATAGTTATTTTAAATTTCCAGTCTAGTAATTCCAAAATCTCTGCCATATTTGAGTCTGGTTCTGTAGTTTGCTTTGTCTCTTTAGACTGTTTTTTTTGCCCTTTTAGCATACCTTGTCATAGTTTATTGAAAGTTGGACAAATGATACATCTGGTAAAAGGAACTGAGGTAAATAGGCCTTTGTATGAGGTTTTATGTTTATTTGCCTAGGAGTTAGGCTGTGTCTAATATTAGCTGTAGCTGTAGGTGTCCAAAGCTAAAATATCCTCTGGTGTCTTTGTTTTTATTTCCCCTGTCATCTTTGAGTTTCCTAAAGAGACTCCTTAAATAGGGTCTGAGCTTTGCAGTTCTTCTGTCTACTCCACTATTATTAACAGGAGCCTCATTGATGTAGTGGTGAGGTGTGGGGAGAGCAGAAGCATTCTGTAGCCCTGTGATTAGGTCTCAGTCTTTTTGTGATCCTATGCCCCTGGGCGGTGACTTTCACAAGTTCTTCTCGGCTTTACCCCTTCCCCCTTAGGTTAAGCAGAAAGAGTAGAGGGGAAGGGGCTGGAGTTATTTATTTCCTTTCCCCAGGTCTGTTAGGCTCTTGTAAAATAGTTTCTTTTGAAAGTGTAGTCCTTCATGTTAAGAACAGAATACTCTAGGCATGTTTCAAAGTGGTTACTTTCCGCCTCCTCCTGCTAGACCCATGAGGGGATTTTTTTCTACAGTCTTCACCCTAAGATCCTAGTGGGGCTCCCATAGTTAAAATGCAGGAAAGTGTGTCCCACCCCTAAGACTGGGTCCCAGGAGTTTTTACTTCGCAAGCTAGTCTACACAGCCTCTGGCAATTGGTCAGTTACAGTTTAAGTATTCCTACCAGTACTGGCTCCAGCAGTAGACTTCTAAATTGGGAAACTATGATTCTCAGTGTCTGCCTTTGTCTACTTTTCTGTGCAGCAGATTGCCATGTGACCTCAGTTCTCTGACGTATCTAAGAAGAGTTGCTTTTCAGTTTTTTCATAATTTTTCTTGCTGTGGGGACAGGAGTGATGACTTCCAAGCTCTTTATGTGTTGGACCATAAATCAGAAGTCTAGGCCAGTGTTTTCCTATGTCATCCTTGTACCTAGTGCAATATCAAGTTGTTCACAGGCTATTTGACAATTATAGTAGATAAAAATTTGTTCGCACATTTTACAAATTTTATATATAAGGTTAATTATGACTTCCTAAAAAACCTTGTCTGTTGTCCTTGATCATTGTGTCCATGCTTAAAACATAAAGGAGCGACTATTGTGAACCAGCATAGGTTTCCTAAAAATAAAGTACATCAAACCTTTATCCTATTCAATTTGTGTTTAAACATAAAATAATTTACTATTCCTCTCTCAAATTTTACTTTTTCCTACAGTACATTAAGTACACTTTAATCAAATGTGTAAATAGGATTATTTGTGCTATCCTTTATATAGTATTGAAATTAAACTGAAGCTAAATTACAAATTAGAATCACACAGAATTTCATGGAAATAATGTCACCTATGATGTGTTGTTCTGGGGCAGGTGAACAGATTTAAGGAGATACACACTTTGATCAAGTACCTCTTGGAAAACTGCAGGGCTTGATACCAGTGTTAAAATATAATTTTAGAATATCTCTAAATATTTCCTGCAATCAAAGAGCATAAAAATATATTTCATCGAAGTGGTGACTGTTACACTATATCCCATTACAAATCTATTTTCTAAGCCTGAGTTATTCTTATGTTTGTTTCCTACAACCCAAATCTTTTATTTATCCTCAGCCACCGATTTGGGCTTGTCTCTCTTGATAGATATCTTATTTTTTACTCCTCCTTCCCCCTCTTGCTAACATCATCTTGATGTTGTGTATAGGCAGATGGAAATGCATGGTCTGCTACAATCAAAGTTCATTATTGATTCTCTTAGAAAAAGCTTATTTGGAGGAGTATTAGGGATATTTAAAAATATATGACACGACTGATCCTGACACTGTAGGAACTTCCATTCAACGTAGGTTATTAAGCTTTTGAATAAAACTTAGTGCAGACATATAAAATTTTATACCTGAAAGTAATATTATAAAGCCATATGATCCAATTATATAATTTCATATATGAAAATAAAATTATGACATAATAAATTTCTTCATATATGAGAAAATAGGTATATAAACTACACAAAAGCATAATTTTAGGTTTTAACAGCTATGTATCAAACTAGTGACTCATAATTTCTGTTGTCCATTTAGAGTTGGCAGGATCAACTAAAGGAAAGCCTTCTTGCAGGAAGATAATATTCTTTTTATTGACGTAATAACTTCGTATAGCATACATTATACGAAGTTATCGACCGGGACCGGCAACGCCGAGGGTTGCGATCCCGTTGCCGGTCCCGGTCCGGTACGGGCGCGACACTGAGGGTTGCGATCCGTTGCCGGTCACGAAAAAAGACAAAAAAAAAAAAAAAAGAAACTAGGACTGGAGATAGACATTTTGCTACATTTTTTCCATAACTATACGGTATGATCCTTGAAAGGTTGAGTAGCATTTACTCATTTAATTTTTTCGAATGAATGAAATTTGTTCGTTCCACTGATAGAACAGTGTTTCTAACCTTTTCTTTATAGTGTAAAATTTACATGTTGCATTTATTTTTGTACTCTCATAATAAGAAAGTGGAAGATAGGGTTAAAATGTCAGTAAAAGTGGTTCATTTCACATTCAAATAGAAATGTAATAAGCTTACTGAAAATTAATTTTGAAATTGATGTTTTAAATTACTCTTTATTTTAAAATATGAACTGTAAAGTCTTTATCTCTTTATATTTTATTATAGGCAATACAAGGACCTGTGGAATATGAGTGATGACAAACCCTTTCTATGCACTGCCCCTGGATGTGGCCAGGTAATATATAAATTACTCTAAACCATTTTTTATATTCCCATTTATTGAAACACTGACAGAATATGTTGTCATTAAAAGGATGTTCTTACAATGTTTTATAAAATTTTAGAGTTAGAATTTAAAAATCCAGAAAACTTTTGGGAAAAAAATTCTTTTTCTCAATAGCATATCTGAGTTTTGGAAAATAAAATCTAATATTGGGGTGAGGGTTACAACTTATAATACAAAGGTGGAAGCTCTGGACAAAATCTAGGATTTAAAAGTATACTAATTTGACCATTATTGGTTGAAAGTCATTGCTAAACTGCCTAATTGGAAGTCAAATGTACACAGTCTTATATGAGAATTATTTTACTTGCTGAACTCTTATAAAATTAACTGATATTTACTTCTGACAGTACCATTAATGTATTAGTGTTCTTAAGTCTAACAGCTATAATGTAGAGCACATATGGAAGCTTAAGAAAATATTTCAGTTTTTTAACAAGCCAATAAATTATTAATCTATTGCTGTTATAATTCTAATCTTAAAATGACTATAGACACTAAGGAAGACTGAAAAAATAAGTTTAAAGCATAGTGAAATTACAACAAAGTACTTAAATATACAGACTGTAAATTATAAATAAGCATTAAAGTGCTTCATTGGTTTACATTTTTTAGTTGATTTTTTTAATTGATATTTTAAATTATGACATAATTGATACACTATAAACATATGCACTTTATTGTGTACAATTGATAATTTTTAACATATCTATATACTCATAAAATATGACCACAATCAAGATAGTGAATATATCCATCACTACAAAAGTTTCTTCATGCCCATTTGTAATCCCTCTCAGCCCTGCCATCCCTTTAACCACTGATCTGCCTTCTGTCACTGTAGATTTGTTTACATTTTCCAGAATTTTATATAAATGGAATTATACCATGTATACATTTGTCTGTCACCTTTTACTGCACATAATTTAAGATTTCTCCATGTTATGTGATCAATAGTTAATTCTTTTTCTTTGAGGGGTAATATTTCATTATTCCACAACTTATTACTTCACCTGTTGATGGATATTTTGCTTATTTCCAGTTTTTAGTTATTACAAATAAAGCTGGTGTGAATATTTGTGTACTAGTCTTTGTATGGACACATGCTTTCATTTCTCTTGGATTAATACCTAGGAATGTAACATTGGGATCATATGATAGATATATGTTTAACTTTTTAGGAAATTACTGAACATTTTTCTAAAAGAGATATACCACTTTACATTCCCACCAACAATGTATGAGAGGTCTTGTACCCTATGCTTCTCAGTTTTTTAAGTTTTAGCATTTTTGTGTGTGTGGACTGGTATCTCATCATGGTTTTAATTTGCATTTCTTTGATAACTAATGAAAAGATGAGCATGTCATGTTTATTGGCCATTTGCATACATTATATTGTTTGTGAGGTATCTTTTTAAATCTTTTGCCTGTTTTTAAAAATTGGATTGTCTTTTAATTACTGAGTTTTAGGAGTTTTTCATATATACTGGATACCAGTCCTTTGTCAAATATTTTCTCCAAGTCTGTGGTTTGCGTCTTAACTTTTATAATAATATCTTTTGATTATCAGATGCTTAAGTCTAATGTGTTGGTTTTTTATCTTTTATAGTTGTTGCTTTCTGTGACTTGTCTAAGTAACTTTTGCCTACCCTTAGGTCACAAAGACAGTCTCCTTTGTTTTCCTCTAAAAGCTTGCTTTTTTATTTAGGTCTCTTTTTCACCTTAAATTAATTTTTGAGTATGGTGTGAGGTAGGAGTTGAAGCTAATCTTTTTTTTTTTTTTTTTCCGTACGAAATTAATTTTTGAGTATGGTGTGAGGTAGGAGTTGAAGCTAATCTTTTTTTTTTTTTTTTTTCCGTACGTTTTTTTAAGATATTCCAGCATCATTTGCTGAAAAGATTTTTCTTTCCCTCTTAAATTGGTTTGGCTCCTTTATTGTAAATCAAATGATTGTATAACTGTGGGTCTATTTCTAGGCCTTTGTATTCTGTTCTGTTCATTAGTCTGTCAATTTTAATGCCAGTACCACACTGTCTTGATTACTCTAGCTTTGCAGTTAGTGTTCCAGTCAGGTAGGATAAGTTCTCCAATTTAGTTCTCCTTTTTCAAGATTGTCTTGGTTAGTCTTTTAATTTTTAATCATTCTGGCAAGTGTGTAGGAGTATCTCATTATGATTTTAATTCATGTGGTATCTAAGAATGTTGAGCAGGATAAAGATGGGAGCTACCAGGGTTGGTGCTGTATTAAATCGGTTAATCAGGGAATGTATCTCTGATAAGGTGACAATTGAACAAAGACACAAAGAACATGTGGGAACAAACTTTGCATGTATTTACAGACTAAAGAAACAGCAAATGTAAAGGCCTGAGGAGGGAATGGGTTTGATATGTTTAAGAACAAAAGGACAACTATTGTGGCTGGAACATGTAATAATCAATGAGGAGAAGGGTAAGAGATGAGGTCAGAGAGATAAAGAAAACAAGACATACTCTGTAGGGCTTTGTGGACTGTGATAAGGTGTTTTGGATTTTATTCACAGAGCAGTAAGTGTTAAGAGTGGAAGCAAGGAGGCTAGAGGCTGGCAGCGGTCCAGGTAAGAGACGATGGTAGTTTGGACTAAGTGGTAACAGTAAACATAGAAATAGATTGATTTGACATATATTTGGAGATATATTTTATATACATTTTCTGTAAAGTTAATAGAGCTAAAAACTGCAATTCGTAGAATCCTTTGCCACTAGAATTCAGAGTATAATTTTAGGTTCCACCAACCAAATTTACTCTTTCTGGTAAATCAGATTTACTTTAACTTCTTGGATTTGGTACTGAGTTAAATGGAGAAAGTGATGGTACTCAAGTCATTCATTTTGCCAGTTTGGATTGAAAAACACAACTTGATTTTGTAATCCCTGGATTACAGCTAATAACAATGTTTCTACAACTTCAACAGAAGAAAAAGAAACCAATTGCTATATATGTGTATGCGTATCACAGGAGATTGTTTCTTAAAAGACCTCTCTAGCATTAAATATATATGAGAGATTGTCAAAAAGCTCATGGAAAGAATCATATTATCTTTTAATTCTATTTTCCACAAACTTTTGGAAGTACCCTCATATGTGAAAAACATTAAAAAGTTAGAAATATTTTTTAGTCTCCTTACTATGAAAGGAGTTAAAACATTCATACTTCTTCCCACCTTCCCTTTCCTGTCTCCTGATGTCTGGTAATCTATTTTTACATTGTCAAGGCTTATAATACTTACATTTTGTCTTATAATCTTTAATTCCCATATTTGCCTACTTCTATATTAAGAAAGAGTAGCTAGAGAAGAAGAGCGAGAACTAAGCTTTAGGGCACTCCAGTGTTTAAAAGCCAGGAAAGAGGGAGAGGATGTTGCATAGGAGGCTAAGAAGCAGCAGCCAATGAGGAAAATTAAGTCCTGGAAGTCAAATAGAAAAAATATTTCATAGTGGGAAGAATGATAGAGTCATATTGTTGATAGGATAAGATGAGAATTCAGCACTTACTATTGAATTTAGAAACTTACTAAGAGTAGCTTTAAGTGAAAAGGCAGTAACAACAGTGTGTTTGGAGTAGGTTGAAGAGAGAATGGAAAGAACCAGAAATGGAGACATTGTAAGACAGCTCTTTCTTGGAGTAAAACTTAAAGGAAACTATGAAATATGTAGCTGGAGGAGGATGTGGGAATATTACAGCATATTTGGCACTGCAGAGAGAGGGACCATTGCAGAAATGAGGTCCTTAAGTAGGTAAGAAAGGATGGGATCTAGTTTTATTTTTAAAATTTTGTATTCTATTTGTATTCAGATAACATGCACAATTTTGTATTCTATTTGTATTCAGATAACATGTATCATGAGCATTTTGTGTGTTAATTGAAAACATGGCTTTACAAAAAATTATTAGGTAGTATTCTATTGCTAGAACATGGGCCATAATTTATTTACCTATCCTTCTATCATGAACTTTTAAATTAATTCCAGTATGATAAGCCACATTGTGATGAATGTCCTTCTACATAACCCTTTGTATGCATCTTATACATGTATACACATCTTTAAAGTTGTTCATATGTTTTGCCAAATTATTTTTAAAAGCTAAATCAATTTTTTATTCCAATTGTTTAATTCTCACTGATAGTTTTAAAAATGAGTACCCCAGTCGTGGGCATTATTACATTTTTTGGCATATATTTGTTCCCTAAGATATTTAAAATAGTATCTGTGTTATAATACCACCTTGTAAATGACCAAAAATAACCTGTCCGTATCATCCATTTGTTAAATCTTGCTGAGAACAGAAATGGCATAGTCCCTCTTTAAATTGAAATAGTATTTCATAGGAAATTGAAGGTTCTTATAGGAATTGGTTTTATAAGCACCAATTTGGTGGTGGTAGAGCAAATTGTTTCTTGTCACCATTAAATAGTGACATTATTCAGAATTTGAATTTTAGCTTTAACACACTTAGAAAAATTTAAATTTTCAAATAGATTTTTACATTTTAAAATGCATTTTGTTGATAATATCACTTCAGAGAGAGGCTTATATAAATCAGTGCAAACAGTTTTAACTGTAGACTCTTGCCATTAATCTTTTTTTATATTCCTATTAGGTATTCCACAGAAGGACTTCTGTTAATTTCACTTGTAAAAAATGGTGTTCAGTTGAATTCAGTAAAAGAGACAAAGTGAGAAAATGTAGTGAAAGATTCATTTAACATTGATACTCTGCTATTTTATTGGTAATATCTTTGTTTTTGAAAATTATTTTTCTTATTATTTTTTTGGTAGAATGTTTATACATTATAAGCTGTTTTACTAAAGAGATAAAGATTCATTTTATATTTACTCTAAAGTCTCAATGGAGGCTTGTGTGTGTGTGTGAGTTAATCAGTAACTTTCTGCTGTTGGAGTCCTTCAACTAGTCCTTCAACTGGCTTGAAAATTTATTTGTGCCTATTTAATATTTTAAATAGAAATAATAATATATTATGGATGTGAATTCATGTATTAAAAGCAGAATAACTAATTTCTTAGGAAGTTAATTCTGGTAAGAGTAGTCAAGCCTTGGAAACACAAATTTCCCTGATATAAGAGCTTAAATTAATTGATTATGGAAGCAACTGATTCACCCTCCTCTCCCATCTGTCAGGTTACCCTTTTTATAGCTGTTTAAGAGGTAGTTAACCTGTCCTGCTAGGGACCTATCTACTAAACCTTAACAGCCTTTCCTTTTGTTTATTGAGCTGTATGCTTAAGGTCTTACAGTTGTTTAACAAAAATACTTGTGTTTTCCTGCATTTGAGTTGTGCTTCGAATTGCCTAGAAAAAAGAAATTATATGAATTCAATATATTGTTATTGCTAGTAATATCATTATAATTTTTCTATAAAACTTATTTTTAGAATAAACCTTTTAATTTGGCTGGGAAAGCAATTCACATAGATTCTGCAAAAATTATTATTATAGCACGTAGTAGTTACTTTATAAGTATTTCTTGAAAAAAAAATGCACTTATTTCATATATATGACTTTTCCCAGTGACTGCCTTTTGACAAGATTGCCTTTTCCCACTGTCTTTTTAAATTTCTTGTTAAAAGTAAATTTTCTCTGATGATAGACAAGGTCAAATTCACCTGTAACAAATGCCAATTTGGGTGATTTTTTTTTTTTTTCTGTCCTTCACATCAGAAAGTGTTGCTGTTCATATATATAAATAATATTATTGTTTGATCAGTAATTCCTTTATAAATAGCATAGAGGTAAATTCAATCTGTGGATCCTATATGAGAATTTCTAAATCCGTATTCCTTATATTCCCCCCTTTAATATTCATATGATCCTAAATGTTAGGGTCCTTCTAGCTACTCTTTTTCACTTAGAATCAAGCTTGGTTCCATTTTAAGAGTTGTGTACAGAACACAATGTTATTTGTGGTATATGTGGTTGCACTTTGATTTGAATGTTTGTGATCAGACTAATCTAGGCAGAAGATACTGGTAGAATAAAATTTAGAAGAAAACTTTCAAAGATCTTATCTATTAATTTTGCTGACTTTGCAGTTTTTAAATCTGGGACCTGTATCAAAATGCATTCATTCACAAATGGTTGATGTTTGCCTTCAGTGGAAAAGCCACATTGTGAGGTTCTTTGGAACATAAAATGAATCTTGCTTTAAGATACTTTTAGTGTGGGACATAAGACACATACATTTAAAACTGTAATACAAAGTATAAAAAGCAATAAAATAATGTCAGTTAACTGCAAATATGTTCATTCTCCAAGAGCTTTGTTATTCAGCAATCTGTCAAAAGCACCACTACTTCTTATTCTCCTAAATTTGGAAGGGATTCTTATAATGATAAAGTAATAGGAAGATAACACCTGAGTGGGGAAGAGCTAGATTGTGGTCCTAGTATCTATGGTTAGAGCTCATTAAATGTCTGAAGAATAAATGAATAAGTCAAGCGATGAAAGTACTGTTGTATCTGAACACTGTCCTTCAGTGGGAATACAGGCAGGTGCTGAAAAGAGGTCATAAAATAATGGTTAATTTTCTGCTGGTGTGTGATAAAGACTAAGTGATAAATATAGACAAATTAAAGCTTAATTTGACGTAATGAACAGTTTGTGGTTTTGGGTGTTTTTTCTCCTCTTAGACTGATTATTAAGATTCAATTCTTTTATTGTGAAGAGCTCATTCTTTTAATTAGCATTTACTGAATACTTACTATATGCTAAATTTGGGGTGTTGCGGTAGGAGCGTGACCAACTTAAAAGGACAGACATGAAAATATCAGTACCTGTATGATACTGAGATAGGTGCTATAACCAAGGCATTGTGGAGACCATAATGGGAGCACAAGTGAGGGATTCTAACTTCTATAGGCTGGCGTCTAGTGGGCTGGGCTAAGGATGATATAGGTACTCAGTTTCACACTTTTTTCTTTTTTTGATATAGTATAAAAAGTGTAATGGAAAAGTTTTCTTTAAAGTTTTTTTTTTTTTTTTTTTTTTTTTTTTTTTTTTTACATTGTTTTAAGGATATCCTAAAGCTACCATTATTAGTTGTGTGAAAAGTTGTAGTGAATTGAGTCTTGGGAAGAGACATAAGAGAAGAAATCCATTTTGATGGTTTGGGCAAACCAGATTCAAGTACATATAATTTTATCATTCCCATTTGTAAAGTTATAGAGTAAAGAGTGAGTTTACATTTCTTAATTTAGCATTTTAAAATTATTGCTTTAAAATAGCAAAAAGTAAATGCTCTCTATTTTCAGTTATAAATGTTACTTGAAAAGTAGCTTCATAAAGGTTGATGTCCAAACATGAGATATCGAAACAATGCATTTATTATGTTATAATCATAATTGTCACCTTTGGCATGCAGAACTCATCCAAGTTAAGCGCAGGGGGAGAAAATGTGATGGATAGTTTTAAAAATTATTTTTAAAATAATTTTGATTCATTTTTATATAAGAACTCTGATGAAAAAAACCACTTTGGCTACTTTAAGTTAAAATTTTTATTTTATTTTAACATGAACTGCTTTATTATTGTATTGGTTGCTCCTTCTTTGCTGGATTATAACAAAGACATTCTTTTTTTATGTGGTACTATAATGAACGTGATTTATTTCTTAATTTGTCCAGGAGTAATATTCCTATAAGAAAATTCTTATTTAAAAAGTGGTAAGTAACCGTAAATGTAGGTAAATACAGTACTTTCTTCAAAAGTCATAGTGCCATGGAGTATATATTTCTAATATGATATTACAAAAATTAACAGTGGTCTACTTTTAGTATCCCAATAAAATTTATATAAAGTTTCTTTGCCTCAGCTTTATTTTTAAATACTCTAAAATGAGTTTGTGACCTAGTAATGTATCAGTATTGCTTATTCTTGGGTAATGGATTTCTCTAGATTATTTGAAATCTAGTGTGCTTATCTGTACTAACAATAATAGATTCTTTTGTAGTTTACAAACTGCTTTTTCACTGTTAATGGTGGTTTTACATGTTGTGGAAATGAATTTCCTTATCATTTTACTTATTTGATCAACTTGAAAATCTTAACTATATTTTAAAACTTTTTGCCACAGCGTTTTACCAACGAGGATCATTTGGCTGTCCATAAACATAAACATGAGATGACACTGAAATTTGGTCCAGCACGTAATGACAGTGTCATTGTGGCTGGTTAGTATATGCTTTTATTAATAGCTTATATACATATTTCACCTGGAATGTGCACAAATTTTGTGTATTCTCTGTAAATAATATAGTCTGGTGATATTCCAGTTACTTCATTTACAGTAAATGTTGGCAACATGTATTTTACCCATTACATTTCCATGTTTCCTTCTGACCATTCATTTCACTTTTTTGTGTAGTTTTTAAATATAGATTTCAATGTCAGTTTTGTGAAAGTTAATTAGGACTTTGAGAACATCCCATGTACATAGTCTACATTTAATTGATAATAATTGAATTAATGTGGTATTTAGTAAATGTTTCTTTTAGCTGTCTTGCACCTGGTTTATAAGGCTGTGTGAAGATAGAAAATGATCAAGCTCCTCCTGTTGAAGAAGGAGCAATTGGCAGACTTGTTCATTAGGATTTTGTTTATATTTCTTTTCAGACTAAACATTTTTGTTAGTCAAATACTTTCAATAAAGAGGGCCTAAATTCAGTCAATGTTTGTTTTGTGTGTTGACCCCATGAACGTAGAGTTATCACCTAAGCATATGATTATTTTTCACAGTATGTGAAGAGATACCTAATTCATGCATTGGTTTATTGTCATTCCATGCTGTGTTAAGCTTCCTTTTTTGGTACTTAAATATATATACACACACATCTATGTATATGTACATACACATACTATGTATAGTTTCCCTTCACTTATATATTTTATAAATAAATATTGTGATAAGAAAACAAAGTTTTATGTAAAATTTTATATAAATTTCAGATCTTTTGTGTCGTAACCCAAGATTTGTAAATCATAAATATTCAGATTAACTCTAGATTCTTCTTTGCTCCTGTAAAGTTTGTAAGTCTGGAATTATACCTAAATACCAAATACATTAGTACTTTTAAATTATTACTCAGTATAGAGATCAAAGTGTCATATGTAATGCTTTGGGTAGATAATAAGGCAAATATTAGGTGATTCTTCCTGGACTTTCAGTATCAAAATTTTTGTAATGAAATTAGAGGTAACAAAAAGTTAGCAATATATCAAAAACAATTTATGTAGGAAATATGTAGGGAAACTTTCAACATATCGCAGTTCCTTAAGTGAAAGGAAACAGAGAATAGTGAGGTATACATGCATTTGTTTGGAATATTGTAGTTCAGATATGAAGAGCTAGAACCAAACAAAAAAAAAAGGCAAAATAATAGCAACAACCTGGAAAGTTCACTCTCCTAGGAATGAAGGTTTTTGTTTCTCTGAAACTTATTGCCTTGGAGCAACCTCTCTCTGTAACTTTTTAACTCAAAAATGTTTTGAAGTTGGTCTCTACTTTCCTTTATGATTAATACTTGTACAATAGAAAAATGGAACACATTCATATAAGTACCAAGTGCTAACCGATTGCACCACTGAAGCTCCAGAAAAATGGAACACATTCAAACATAGCACGTGACCATATTTTTACTAACATATGTTGAGATGAATAGTTTAGCATTACTGTATAAATATAATGCATGATGTGTGTGGTATATATTTGATGATCAATAGCCATATGCAATCTGCATGTTAAATGATTGTGCCTATGTTGACTTTTCTCAAGTTTGGCAATTCTAGTGATCATTGATAAAAGTGATTTATGCTTATGCATTTTATTTTTAAGACTTTTTCCTCCCTTTAACGTAAGTTAAAAGCCTTCTAATGAGCTTAGATAGACAGACTTTTGGGGTCTGAACAGAAGAGTCAAATTTATATTTGACTTAGGAATTGTCATGATGGACTTAAGCTGATACATGTACACTGGGCTCTTACTATTATACAACTTTGGGGGTCTTTTGGAGGATAGGAGTGAGGGGTAGATTAAAGACTAACTAATTGGTAAAATTATGACACAGAGTCCCTTGAGTAATTCCAATATTATTAACAGTGCCTGAGACAGGCCTTCATTATGTATAAAGTGTATGACAAATGGGTCATTTTAGTGTTAAATATATTTATATATAGTAAAAATCTAAGTACTCTGGGTATATATGTGAGGGCAAAGATAAAATAGTAAGTAATGCCCACTGTGGAGACACGATAGTTAACAAATATGCTAATTTTAATTTCACAAAAGATTTTATGAGTATTTTATCTTAAACCAGGAGTCATCCTCAACAGAGTACTTTTATTTAGCTTAAGATAGATCCCTGACATAACCTATAAAATTGGTGCCCTAAAATATATAAAATATGAATAGAATTTTAAAGTGCTTCCAGCTCTTATCAATATGAATAAACAGTCTTGAAAATAGCAAGACTAAATGAGCAAAATTTGTAAGTTTGTTGTATTTCATTCAACATGGGACTTAGCTGGCATTTGTTCTGTAGTCAATACATATATACATGTATACTCAGTATACATGTTAATGTACTAGCATGAGTACATATTCAAGTATAGTGGAAATATTTCACTTAAAGTTATAAGAAGGAGTTGAATGTTCCTCCACTGCCTCAAAATTAAGCTAGATCACTCTGTAGTCATGACATAATCCTCATACAAAGCTTACAAAATCCATTACAATAGAAAATTAGCTTCAGTAGATAGTCGTAGAGTTTTGTTTTGTTTTTTTAGAGCTCTTGTTTCAACTTTATTTTTCTTCCTTGTATTTTGATCTACCTACTGAAGATTGTTTTGTCTTAAGCTTGCTTTCATAATAGATATGAACAACTAGAAGAAGGGCCAAGTTAAAGCAAATATACATGCTCTTATCCTAAATACAATTGCATGTATTTAAACAATCATAATTTTTAATAATGTATCTTTTAAAAAATTCTTATCACTCAGATAATGATAATAGTTTATCTCTTGAGTAGAGGATGTTTATGCCACTCTACTCAAAGAGAAGGAGTGGACTAAAGAGCAAAAAGGACTTTTTTCATACTTTTTTTAAAATTGAAAAATAGTTAATTATACATATTTGTGAGGCAGAGTTGAATATCAATACTTTTTTCATACTTTCATAATTCATAAAATTGGAGGAAATATCTTGAAGTGCAACAAAAACTTAACCAAATTTTGTTTGCTTTAAAGGAAGAGGTCTTTCCAAAGAGAATTAACAACTGACTGAACCAGTCCTGCTAATTTATTAATTTACTAGCTATATTTTAGTCTTAATATGATATTTAAATCTGTGTGATTACTTCTTGACATTTATTTCAGATCAGACCCCAACACCAACAAGATTCTTGAAAAACTGTGAAGAAGTGGGTTTGTTTAATGAGTTGGCAAGTCCGTTTGAGAATGAATTCAAGAAAGCTTCAGAAGACGACATTAAAAAAGTATGTTGTTAGCAATGTAATTGAAAAAAGAGTACTTCTAATAGAAAAGTAATGATAGTTATACTTCCTGCTTTCTTAATTTAGACATACTGATTATTTTTGAACTTGTAGCATTTTTTATGTTGTTTGCATTTTAGATGCCTCTAGATTTATCCCCTCTTGCAACACCCATCATAAGAAGCAAAATTGAAGAGCCTTCTGTTGTAGAAACAACTCACCAGGATAGTCCTTTACCTCACCCAGAGTCTACTACCAGTGATGAAAAGGTTAGAAATTTGTATTTATGGTAGAAATACAAACTAAGGGAAAAAATTGGTATCCCAAGTGAAGTTTAATATTTAATCTTCATAAAATGTTACTGTATTAAATTTAACATAATTCAGTGTCAGTTTGCAGTAGTTTTATATGTAAGAAAGCCTGTGAATACTCAGATATTTCAGGGAAAGAAAACTATCTTTATAGATAATTATTTATTGTACACAGAAAAATTATAGGAGAGAACAGTCACTTTCGATAAAACTGTTATTTAAATTTATAAGTTTAACTTAATTTTTCTGGGTTTTGGTATTTTATTTTTAGCTACTTTTATACAGTGACAGATTAATTAAGAACCTGTACAACTAAAAATTGAACGATGGTTATTTAGGCTTTTAAAGGGCTAAGGGATTAATAAGTTAGTTACTCATTCTGAGCAGTATATCTTTGGTAACAGCAACTAAGAAGATTATGATACTATCTTGAATAGTCTGGTAACCTGGGACCAGAATATTCAACCTGGGACCACCTGGGCTGTATTTCTTTGTTGAGTAACATTATTCTGGGTACTTCTTGATCACTTTTTCATTAATACGCGCATAAAATGAACACATTTATTTGGGAGCACCATGTTGGGATACAATAAAGAGGCAACGGTAATGTTCTTTTTTAGATTATGTTATTCTAAAACCATGATTTATTGATGGACATCTCCTGCCATTCAGAGGAGCTAGAAAAGAAATAAGGAAATACAGAAAAAGTAACTTTTTACCTAGGAATAAATGCTCTGATCTTACGTTTGGTTTGGGGATTTGGGTTTCTATTTGGGGGGGGTGGGTTCATTTTCTTTTCCAGATTATAAATGTACATTCTAATTATAAAAACCTTAAAATATAGAAAAATACAAAGAAAACCAAAATCACCTATTAGCTCATAATTGAATAAGAATTACTAATATTTTGAAACATTTTTTCCTAGAGAGAGATATATATATATATTTATACATGCAAACATATAAGTGAATAGTTACTTACGTAGAATGGATGGATACAAAGAAAGATTCTAGCTTACTTTTATATTGTGCTTTAAAACTCAGCATTAATGAACATTTTCCCATGTCTTCAGCGATTTCTCCAAAATCATAATTTTTAAGGATTGGACTTTATGTTATCATTATCTTAATGTAATTAATTCTCCTGGGTTTTTTTGGGGAGGGGAGGGACATGAAGGTTCTTTCAACATTGTCTCAGTTAGAAATGCTGTTAGGAGCCATCACATTGGGGACTATGTTGCTCTTGAACATCCTGTTCACCAGTTAGGGCGTGCAGCTGGGAGGGGCTGGACAGTGGGCCAGGTATACCAGGAGTTGGGAAAAAACCACACTAGGCAAAGAACTTGCGTTAAGATCAGGAGTGAAATACATTAATGTGGGTGATTTAGCTAGAGAAGTCTGATCTCCGGATATCATGGAGTCTGGCAAGATGGCGTCTCCCAAGAGCATGCCGAAAGATGCACAGATGGCACAAATCCTGAAGGATATGGGGATTACAGAATATGAGCCAAGAGTAATAAATCAGATGTTGGAGTTTGCCTTCCAATATGTGACCACAATTCTAGATAATGCAAAAATTTATTCAAGCCACGCTAAGAAAGCTACTGTTGATGCAGATGATGTGCAATTGGCAATCAAGTGTCGTGCAAACCAGTCTTTTACCTCTCCTCCCCCAAGAGATTTTTTATTAGGTACTGCAAGGCAAAGAAATCAAACCCCTTTGCCATTAATCAAGCCATATTCAGGTCCTAGATTGCCACCTTATAGATTTTGCTTAACAGCCCCAAATTATAAGCTTAAGTCTCTATTAAAAAAAGGCATCTACTTCTGCGGGAAGAGTAACAGTTCCACAGTTAAGTGTCGATTCAGTTACTAGCAGACCAAGTACTCCCACACTAGGCACACCAGCCCCACAAACCATGTCTGTTTCAAGTAAAGTAGGTACTCCAATGTCCCTCACAGGGCAAAGGTTTACAGTACAGCTGCCTACTTCACAGCCCCCAGCAGTAAAAGCATCAACTCATGCAACATCAGCAGTTCAGAATATTCTGATTAATCCATCATTAATTGGGTCCAAAAGCATTCTTATTCCCACTGATATGGTGTCATCAGAAGATAATGCCAACGAATTATCAAATGCATTGACAAGAAAACATGAAGATGGTGATGATGACGATGATGTCAATGACTGATAGTTTGTAATCTAGCCTTGATGCTTATAACAGTATACGTGGTCTTAAATCCATTGTACTGAATTAAAAATGCATGTTGAATGTTTTTAAGTTGTGTTTTAGAAAACATAAAAAGTACTTAATGAGTAAATATAGTTACTATATATTTAACTGAAATGTTGGGTTTTCTTTGATAGGGTTAGTAATGGTTTTTCATCAGCCTTCAAGTGTAAAAAATAAAATAAAATAAAAAGAAATGCTGTTAAATCTTTGATATAAGTCTGTCTTCATAGACAGCATTCCGGTCCCTTCATGTTTACCAGTTTTTCACTATTAATGGCTGTGTTAACATCTTTTTCCAACTTTGCTTAGTCATTTGTTCCTCTTGGGCAGGGCATAGCCATGGCAATTTGTAAAAAAATCAGTTCTGGGCCTCCTCTTTCTTGATTCTCTTCCTAGGTGATCTCATCTAGAACCATAACTTTAAAAACCATCCACATACCAATGATTCTCAAGTTTATATTGACCCAGATATCTCTCCAGATTGCCATATTCATAACCAACTCCATCTTCACATTTCCCTTTTTATTTCTAATAGACACCTTAAACTTACATATGTAAGTCAGAGTCCTTGATTCTTTCCCAAAGCTTCCTCTTCTCAGCAAATTTTCTTCATCCACCTATTTGCTGAAGCCAAGAATTTAGTAATCAACTTTAATTTCTTCTTTTCCTTCACACTGCAGATCTTATCAGACCTACTTGCGGGATATATCCTGAATCTTACCCACTTCTGTCTGTGTGCAGTGTTACCACTTTAGTCCAAGCCATCATCATCTTTTACTTGGATTATTAACAACTACCTTCTAACTGGATTTTCTGCTTTCATCTCCATTCTATTTTCTATAGGACTCTTTGTTTTGTTTTGTTTTGTTTTTTAATACATTGAATCATGCCATTCACTTCCTTAAAATCCTTCAGTGGTTTGCCTTTGTATTTAAGATAATTCAGACTTCTTAGCATAAGCAGACTTTGATCTGGACTTCTCTACCCATCTGTCCTCACCTCATGCCACTCCATTGTGTTCATTAAATATTTCAGACTTTTTACTTCCTCAAGACAGTGTATGTGGTATTTCTTCCTTTTCTCTAGAATGTGCTCTTATCCTTTCAGTGTCAGCTCAAATGCCATTTTTGCAAAGAAGCTCACCTTCCTTCACTAGGATAACTAAAGTAGCCAACTCTGCCCTGCCCTCAGTTAATCTTTCACTGTTTATTATATTGCACTTATTATTCTATAACATTTAACATGTAACAATCTAAAATTTTCTTGTTTGTTTCACTTTATTGTTTCTCTTCCCACTAGTCCTTGAGAACATAAGTTCTCAAACTTGTTGAATAAATGAAGTTATAAGTAGTACTAGTTTGTCCTTTTTCCTATGTAGCTTATTAAGACTTTGACAGTAAGTGACAGCATAAAGGCCAATTCAAAGAACACAGTAGACCTAATTCTTACACTGATTAGTTAAGGAGTTCTGTGTAAGGCCCTTAATCTCTTTATTTCCTAATCTGTAAAACTAGGGGAAATACCATCTTTACAGTCCTCACTGTCTCACAAATTCTGTTTTCCTTTAATTTGGAAAGGTTTCACTCCAGGAATTACTTATTTTACATTCAAGATATCAGTATTATGTGGCCTTTTGATATTGAGAAATTATTGATATAGGAGGGATAGGTACCGAGATTAGCGAACATTCATATTACTTTAAAATATTTTTAAGCATTTCTATTATTGAATTTGTTTTAACTATAATATAGTCTCCCTGTATCTGTTTTTCTCTTTGTACAGAATAAAGTAGGAATAGGTTTAGGCAATATCTTATGGATTTTAAGTTCTATGATTTCATGAGAATGGACTGTATTTTAATTTTAATATTTTACTAAAATTATAAATGGAATCACAGCCAAATTGCCCAGCCTAACTTATTTCTGGATTGATAGGAAAACAAGTTGTATTGAGAAAACCTACTCAGATTTTTAAAAATTAAAATACTAATTGAACATTACATTTGAACCATTATAGCTGCTTCTGAAAGTTTCTTTTAATTATTTTTAGATATTAATTTACTTTTGAGGTTTAAATATAAAACACTGTGGATACTTTTAGAAGTGTGTTCTGTTTACTAAGGTACATTTTTAAATGCCACCCTTTCTTTATCTCTTTATTAAATAGGAAGTATCATTGGCACAAACTGCACAGCCCACATCAGCTATTGTTCGTCCAGCATCATTACAGGTTCCCAATGTGCTGCTTACAAGTTCTGACTCAAGTGTGATTATTCAGCAGGCAGTACCTTCACCAACTTCTAGTACTGTAATCACCCAGGCACCATCCTCCAACAGGCCAATTGTGTAAGTGATTTGGGCCAGTCATTGAACTATATATGAATTGTTAGTTTTCTCTTTATGATTTTTCTCTAAGACATTTAATTCACATTTTGACTGTGTGACTGTGTGTGTGTGTGTGTGTGTGTGTGTGTGTGTGTGTGTGTGTGTGTGTGTGTGTCTCCTTACTTGAATTTTGGAAACAATACTTGGGTGGTATTTTTTAAATATAAATATTATCTGATAGTTTGAAAAGTACCCAAAACTTAGTTTTAAAAAATCAACATAGAATGTGAATTTACAATGACCTCTTATTTTCATGCTATGTCACACAAGCATATAAATTGCTTCATCATCAGATGACATTTCTATCAGTTCTTACAGGTAGCTCCCAAGAGCTTTCTGATGAGAACTCGGAAATTTTTCTCATTTTACAAATTGGAGATTGTCCTAAGTAAATTCATAATGTTTTCCTTTTTTTTTTTTTTGTTCACACTGCTATATTATTCATTTAGGATACAAATAAAAGTAATTTTGCAATTTTCTTTGTAGTGGTTAGAAAATTTATCTTTACATGATATGGTAATAGTAAAAATACTGCTGTTTTTTAAAGAGATGGTTGTTATGGATCTCTTGTCTTTAATTTCCCTTCTTTTATTTTTCTTAGCCCTGTACCAGGCCCATTTCCTCTTCTGTTGCATCTTCCTAATGGACAAACCATGCCTGTTGCTATTCCTGCATCAATTACAAGTTCTAATGTGCACGTTCCAGCTGCAGTCCCAGTAAGTTAGAAATTTAGACTATTTAAATCTTTATAGCAAGTCTGGTCTTTGTAAAGCAATCAGAAAATACAGTTGGGTCTGCTTGATTGTCTTATGGAACTGAATTTAACAAAATACTTTTTAGTGATATATAGTGTTTATTCATTGATATTTATGAAAATAGCGTATACCATTCAGAAAAGCAAACATAACTGGATAGAAAAGATTTTTTCTTCCCCCCAAAATCTTAATTGTTTTCCTTTATTTTTATACTAAGAACTTTATTTCTTATTTACCCATTTCAATTTGACTAGATCTGTAGAATTCAAATATTAACACAGATTTCTAATTTTTTTTTTTTTTGCAACTGGCTATTATGGGGATGTAAACCCTTGACCTTCGGTGTTATTAGCACCATACTCTACCCATTGAGCTAACTGGCCAGCCCCAGATTTCTGATTTTAAAAAGATATTTGTACTAGAATACTTTATGCTTGTCAGGTAACTCCATGATATTCTGGTTAATATGAGAATTTTTTTATAAAAACACTGGCCATTATGGGGATCTGAATGAACCCTTGACGTTGGTTGTTATCAGCACCACACTCTACCCAGTGAGCTAATCAGCCAACCCCAGATTTCTAATTTTAAAAAGATATTTGTATTAGAATTTTTGTCAGGTAAACTCCATGATATTCCCGTTAGTATAGAAATTGTTTATAAAGGCACACTCTATGAACTTTTGTGGTCAAGTTGAGTTGCTGGAATTCCTTGGATGGCTAAAGCATATTAAAATCTAAACATTCTAAAACCATAGTTTCCCACTTTCCTAATGAAAGCTCCAAAAGAAGAGTTTTTTGAGGGTCATGTTAAATAAATTTTGAAAGATATAGTCAAATAGTTAAATACCTATTTACAGTATTTAACAGTTTAATGAACATTTAAAAACACATTGTAGTAATGTAAATTAGAAATAATGCTTTTTTTTCTTACTCTCACATTTCATAAAAGTAATATCTTCAACATTCAAATTTTCATCCTGAGAGCCACTTTTTGAGACATCTAGCAGTTTTCCAGAACACGTTTTCGTTTTCACCTAGATTATTTACAGTGTAACACTTTTTGGGTCTCTCTATTATTCTCTTCCTGGAAATTTACCTCAAGCCTTAGATACTCATTTATATAATAAAAAGTGTTTTCTTTTACCTTTATAGATACATATTGCTGATCAGTACAATGTGATCATTTACTGTAAAGCTTTTCAAATTGTTTAAAGCCTATTTATAGTAGCATTCCAACACTTTTGGTGAGGTTATACCCCAGGAATATTACTAAGAGATTAATGTAAAGTATTTACTTTTTTTTTTTATTTACTAATTCTTCCAAGTGATCTTCCTAAGTGTCCAAAATTAGCCTGGATTGAGGTAATTTCAAAATAATGTCTCTTCTAACAGAATTTTGTTGTTCAAAATGCATTATTTGAGGGCCGGCCTGGTGGCGCACTGGATAGTGCGCCGCTTGGGAAGCGCGGCGGCGCTCCCGCCCGAGGGTTCGGATCCCACATACAGACCGGTTCCCGCTCACTGGCTGAGCGAGGCGCGGGG